TATACTATTAACTATTTTTTTTTTCAAAAAAATGCTTGGGTCATTTGTGTAATATTTCAAAAATCAAAGGGAATAAAAAAACAAATGGCTATGTTTGTAACGTCTTTCATGTTAGGGAAAAAATAGAGAAATCTGAAAATACAGTGTTTGATTTAATTTCAATTAATTTTTTATTAAATTTTGACCAAATTTAAATATTAAATATATATATATATATTAATTTTAGATTAAATTTTAAATGAAAAGTAAAAAATTTTAAAAAATCGAATCAAATTATATATATATTAATTTATATATATTAAATTTTTATAAAATAAAATAAAAAATTTTATATTAAATTTTATTAAAATATATTAAAATAATATATAAAAATTAAAAAATAATAAAATTCACTTTGATTCCTTTAATAAAAATTCCATTCAATTTAAATTCAAATCAAATTTTATAATTTTATAATATTATATAATATTAAAATAAAATTTGAACCAAATTGAATTCAAACCGAATCAAACCGTTATCATCTCTACCTTTTAGTCCGAGAACGATGAAAAGCCCAACACCCCAAACCCAATGGCAACGGCTAGATTTCACCGCTATTCCCAGAGCACCGTTTGATCGTCCAGGAGACTTCACCATTCTTTCAGGGTTATCTGTAACCCGGAGGTTCAAATCAAAGAGGAAGGCCAACCTCAGACCCTTTTGATTACAGGGTCTTTCTTGTTGATCACTCTGGTAAAAAAGGTCACTTGTTTTTTCATTACCATCTCAACATTTCATGACAAATTGGTTTCTTTCTTGTTTGGATTTTGACTATTTCTTTGGGTTTTTGATGTTAGTCTTAAAGTTGTGTGCTTTTTTTTCTTGTTTAGCATTTGAAGCTAAAATGAAGATTAAGGGACTCAGCTGATGACTAATTTTGTGCAGGTATTCCATTGCATTTGGTGGAGTATTCAATTTTGTCGCTGAGATACCCAAAGTAAATTTCAATATAAATGTTCATTCTTTCTCAATCTTATTTGTCAGTTACAACACCAAATGGAACAATGGATTGCTCCCTCGGACTTGGGAAGACCCACCATTTTCAAACCCTAAAGTTGAAGGAGCATTAGGAGATACTTTGTTTTGTTCATATAACCTCGCCCTTCTTAATGCCCAGCAGATTTTGTTTGTCTATAATTGTTTTCTGAACTTTTAGTTGATATTGTTGAGATTGGAGACAGACAAAGAAAGAGTGTCGGATCCTCAAGGTTAAGCCCCTGGCTGCTTTAGCTATGATTGGTGAGGGGGAGCTTGACTGGAAAATAGTTGCAATATCATTGGATGATCCAAGAGCTTCACTTGTGAATGATGGTAATGATGTTGAGGAACATTTTCCAGTACTTCCTGTTATCTCAAGCTTCGCCTAGTTATTTATTCATATGCTTTTTTTTTCTTGGTCACAAATTAGCATATGCTTTAGTTAAAGGAAATGGAGCTTATCACTTCATGAATATGATTCTTTGTTATATATTAATATGCGTCTGTGCTACTTACTCTAAAATTACTAATTACGTCAATGTTCAATCAAGAGAAAAACTACAATATATAGGTCAATAGCATCTGTGCCACACTGGTAAGATTGTGTTGGCTCTTATTTATTTTTACTTCAAGCAATTTTCTTTCCTTTTTACCTTGTTTCCTCTTGTTTTCTTTTTGCTATGTGTTTGAAATGTTGTCAGGAAACTTTTCTTCAACCTGGCATATTTTAAGTTTTTAGTTGACATGGCACTTGAACTCACAATCTATACAGGGTACTCTTGTGGCGACTAGGGAATGGTTCAGATAAAATCCCAGATGGGAAGCCTCCGAACAGGTTTGCTCTTGGCAACAAGGCGGCAAACAAGGTAGATTCAGTTTTCTTCTTGAATGGCCTAATTTTATTGGAAAAAAAAAGGGCTTTTTTTCTTCACCATGCTGTTGTTGTTCCTCTACTAGCAGAACTTAACAACCTTTTCCACTTAAAAATTGAAAAAAATGATCACAAGTGCTTTTGCCGTCTAGGGGGACAAACCAGTCTTTATGTTCACTGATACTGTAGCTTATTAACTATTTCTATTTTAGTATTAACATGTGTCTCAATGATATTTGATGGCCTATTTAAATTGGTTTAGTTTTATGTTCATTTTCCCCCTTTGAAACTAGAAAGTTCAGATACTTTTCAAATTGGCTAGTTTTAATTTCTGGATTTCAAGCATGATATGACAAACAGGATTATGCTTTGAATGTTATCAATGAAACTAGTGAGTCATGGGCAAAGCTGACCAAGAGATCTATCTAAACCTGCTGGGAATCTTTCTCTCCTATAATTAATGCAGATAATCTGATTGTGTAGTTTGTTTTAGTTGACAATGCATGAGGAAATCATTTTCAATTTCTTTTTGAGTTTTTTATTTTTTGTTTGGGGGGATTGTGGGACTCAATTTGCTAATTGTCAATTGATCTACACCATCACATGAAACTCAATGGAAAGTGCAATGAACAAGCAAATCCTGTTATTGAAACCACCTTTTTCTTTGTCATCATTCCTTTGTTAAAATGTGCAAGAATTTGATCAGTTCAACATCAATATTGGTAGCTCATGGTTGGGTTGGTCACTGGGTGCCATTTTAAGGTTCAGTAAGATGTTCTTCCAAGTCTTCCAAAAACCATATTCCATTCCATAGATTTAGGATGTATTATAAATAAGATTATAATAAGATAAGATAAAATGATATTATAAATAAGATTAGATTAAGATAGGATAATTTATTTATTGATCAAAATTATCTTTACTCAAAGTTTATATAATTTAAATTATTGATATAATTTTTAATGATATAATAGGACATATAAGTTCAATACGATGGATTAAAAATAACTCACTCCACTTTGGGAGGATTGAATCATCATATACTAAAAAGATGATTAATTTTCCTTGTAATCTTATCTTTTCATTTAAATACAAACGAAACATAATATATAATGATTATCATTTTATTTTATCCATTATTTTATACATCAAATATGAGCTTAATTTCTTCTATTAGCATTGTGGTCCTTAGACTTACAGCCAAATCCATGTTTGGTTTTATAATTAAAAAAAAAAATAAAGATATTTATACATTTATAAATCTTTGCCACTTGCAAAAACCCAAAAGTAGTTAATTTTCCTAAAGTGATAGACAAATTGAAGTAGATAATTATGAAAGAAATACTACTATTTTATTTTAGTCTTCCACCATCAATCATGAACCAACATCCAACTAAATTCTTTTTTTTTTTTCAAATATAAGAAGAATTAGGTAGCTTTTGTTTTATTTGGTAAATACAATTAAAGTATATTACATTTTGATTTTATTTGAAAAGGCTACCTTATCATTAGCAAAAATGCCACATCTCCCAACAATAATAACTACACAGATGCCAGCAATGCACTTTCACCCCATTAGTAAGTGTTATGTGCATTTACAATTTTAAAATATTTAATTAGAATTATTTTAGTACTTTACTTTATATTTATTTTATTATTTTATTTATAATTCAAAATTATCTTAAATTTTTATTTTTTTAAATATTTATTAAGAGATATAATTACTTATATTTATCACCATTTTTTCGAATATGATTTATATATACAATGATCAACTTATAACTCATAAACTATAACGAGTGAAATTAAATCAAATAAAATCATAAAAGTTGAATTTTATTTTAGAACTCGTTTTACTTTTTTGTTTATTAATTTGGTACATAAAATTTTGGTATCAAAGCAAATTAAGATGTTAAAGTAATAGCTTATCAAATTAGAAAGTGTAATCAACAAAATCAATAAATCATATTTTTTCATGATTTTATGCTTGGATTTAGTGATTGGATTACAACGATCGATTCGAAGAAGTGAAAAATTGTGAAGTTATCAAAGATTTTTTGCTGAATCAAGTAATATCAGGTGCTCCTTCTAAACTAGAATCACCAGCAACTTCGAGAACGTAAAGGAAAATTTGACTATCTTGCCTCCATTTCGATTTGCAAAATCATTAAATTTTATTTAACAAAAAACTTGATTTTGTATTTGATCAATCAAATTTTTAGAAGATTAACATTTATTAAATAGCTATAATTATGTTGGAATGGTTCAATCCAATAATCCATTTATTCCATTTTCAATTTATTTAAGCAAAATTCATCAGCAATGAAAGCAAACTAAAAGGATCTAGAAAAAAAAAAAAGTGTTTTAATTTTTAATGATAAAGGTGTTTTTAAAGAGGTAGAATGTTACGTGTAATTATGATTATCTTAGTATTTTATTTTAGAATTTATTTTATTATTTATAATAATTTTGGATTATTTTAGAATATTTAGTTATTTATTTTTTTAAAAATATTTTTAAGAGATAATAATTATTTATATTTATCATAATTTCTTAAGATTTGATTGGCTTATATAAAAACCAACTTATAAGTATTATGAGTGAAGTTAATCAAATAAAAATTTAAAGGTTGAGTTTCTTATGATAATTCGTTTTATTTTCTTACTTATTAATTTCTTTCGTCAAATTTCAACATTTAAATTATTTAAAAAAGCAAAATATTAAAAAATTTTGAATTATTTTATTTTTAATAAAATTTTATATTTTTATTATATTTAAATAAATCTTTATATTTTAATATGTATCCATTTAAATACTTATTTCAAATAAAAAATTATTTATATTAAAAATTTATTTACATGTAAATTAAAGATTAATTTTATTTGGATATAATTTAAAGGTTTATTTATATGTAAATTAAAAATTAACAGTTATTTAAATATAAATTAAAAAAATTAAAAATTTACTTGAATATAATAAAAATATAAAAAGTTATCTAAATAAATTAGTATATTTCAGGGGACTTTTTATAATTTTAGCCAAAAAAAAAAAAAAGCTCACCACGTGTTCTCTGCGTAACGTGTAACTTAATAAATAAATAATAAAAAAAACAAAAGTTGAAGCCACGCAGAAGAGGAAGACGGAGAGCCCCTACGCCTGCGCGCTAAAAAGAAATAAAATTTTTTTCATCTCTGCCCTTTTCTTCACTAGATCTCAGCGCTTCCCCTTTCTTAAAGATCCGATTATGTAATTATTCTTTTTTTTTTTTTAATTTTTTGTCAACTAATCAGATGGCTTCGATCCGTCGAACTCTCTCGCCGGCATATCACGACCGTTCGTACCAGAACGGCGCCGGATTCTCCTCTCCGTCTAACAAGTTTTTACCCAACGGAAACAGTAAAAATTCCCTCGTCTTCCTCGTCTCCGCATTTCCCGTTTTTATTCACCGCTGTAAATTTAGTGTATCGCAAAGGATGGCGGCGATCTTTTTGCAGGTGTCTCTTCTTTTTCCTGATAGGGTTTGTCTTGGGAATTACTCCGTTTGGACACATCGATACCGATATCCAAGCCAAGGATTTCGCTTTCCCCGAACTCAAACCTTCGCATGTCAACCTCGAATTCGACGACCAGATTGTTAATTCTGTTTCGTTGGGCGTTAATTCGAGATTTCAAGAACAAAAGGAATTTACCGATTTAATCGAGCCGTTAAAGCAGTTAATAGTCGTTACGCCGACATATAATCGGGGGTTACAAGCGTATTTCTTGAACAGGTTAGGGCAAGTTTTAAGGTTAGTGAAGCCGCCGTTGGTTTGGATAGTTGTGGAGGAGAAAGCGGCATCTTTTGAGACGGCCGAGATTTTGAGGAAAACCGGGGTTATGTATCGGCACGTGGTGTGCACGCTCAATTCTAGTAACGTGAAGGACCGAGGTGTTCATCAAAGAAACGCCGCTTTGGAACATATCGAACGGCATAAGCTCGACGGGATCGTGTTTTTCGCCGACGACGACAATGTCTACACGCTCGAGTTGTTTGAAAGGTTGAGAACCATAAGGTAAATTTAATTTTAAATTTATTTATTTATTTTGGGTAGAATGTTGTTTTTAAGAGAGTTAATGGGGATTACAAATTTGGGTAAAAGTGAGTTTTTGTAACGTATGTGCTGGGAAGTTAATAATTGTTGAATTGCTTTTATTAGCGTTTTGTTTTGATGGGCATTTAGTTAGAGATGGATGCATTTATTGAAAATGGAAGTGATTTTGGTTTTGTAGTTGGTGATTCACTATATGAAAATGATTGCCATCACCTAATGCATTAGTACTTTTTGTTTGTGAATCAAATCAGCCTTTTAACTCTTTATTATTCTGAATTACTAGATCTAGTTTTATTTTGCGTATGACATCCGAGTCAAATAGCCTGGGTCGTCCTATGTTTTAAGCATTTCCTCCATCTTCTGTTTATTGCAGTATTGGTTGCTTATGAAATGCCATTTTATCAGTTTTGTCATGAGATGTTGAATGAGGAATTAACTTAAAAGTTAAAAGTGTTAGCTGCTGATTAAAAGTTTTCCCATTTCAAAAGGTTAATGAAGAGGCCCATAACTGTTTGCTTGGATTTTCTTAGCCTAGAATGATATGAATTGTCAATTTTAGATTGCTATAAATTGAATTCGGGGTTTGTATTGTTCATCAGTAGGTTAGAGAATGCAGAGAGCTCTTCGATGGGGTAACTTCAAAGTAATTTTTGTCTTCTTCTAATCTTGCTAATATAAAGTAATTCATAATATATAGCTTCTTCTGTTGTAGCTGTTTTGGAGCTTGGCCTGTTGCCATGCTTGCACAAAGCAAAAACAAGGCAATTCTGGAAGGTCCAGTGTGCAATGCAAGTCAAGTAATTGGATGGCACACAAATGAGAAAAGCAAAAGACTTCGGAGGTTTCATGTTGATATGTCGGGATTTGCTTTCAACAGCACTATCTTGTGGGACCAAAGGAGATGGGGATGCCCCTTCTCAAACCCAATTCGACAGTTAGACAATGTGAAGGAGGGTTTCCAAGTATGAATCATACTGTTGCATTTTATGCTTTCATGGTGAAACTATTGTGTAATATCTCTAGAAATGTCACAGCCCAGTTCTTGGCTTTGCTCACTGTTTCGTTTATGCAGGAAACTACATTTATAGAGCAAGTGGTGGAAGATGAAAGTCAAATGGAAGGTATACCACCTGGTTGTTCGAGGATTATGAACTGGCATCTCCATTTAGATGCTGGCAATCTTGTTTATCCCAAAGGCTGGCTACTTCAGAAGAACCTGGAGGTTATCTTGCCTATTAAGTGATGGAAGCTCATCTCTACTATTTTTTTATGCTGAGTGTATAAATGGGTATGAGATTTAATTCTGCATTTAATTTAAATTCTCCATTTTTGTAAGTTCGACTTCAGTTATCGGACAGATTGGCCTGCCTGAAAACAAGGGAATACAGAAACAGACATGAATAGATGTCAGAGACGGAACTAATGAAATTGAGTGGAGATCAGTTATCTCTCGAGCTGTTTCTTTGGAAGTATTGTTGTATTTTATTTTAGGATGGGTATCTAATAATGTTATGCTGAAGAGTTTCTGATTGGTGGTGCCCATATTTTGTGCTGGTGGCGCATTAGTTCAACTTTTCTGAGCAGATTTACTGCAATCATCGACGTATGGTAGTGCCTTTTGATATTCATCTGGCAGTGACAAAGAAACAGAAGATTTGTGATTTTTTGTTTCTAGAATTTTGTAGCGTGAATATTCTTACAGAACAAATCTTGTAGAGTTCCGTTGCTTTGAGGGGATTTAATTTGTTATTTTTGAGGAGCACTTTTACATTCCCCGCTCTTCCCTACTCCACAAAATAGGTGGTGTTTCATGGGAGATTTGTTGTGGATCCATAGTCTATATACCCTGTACTACATGCATTGTTGTATCGAAAACAAGAGCCATTTGTTACTTGTCCGAAAGCATTTTCCTTTTACCTCGTTCATGTTCATTTGTTGTTATTCCCGCAACTTGGAGGTATCGTTCATAATTGGGATGGTTGGACAGGTCTTTTATGTTGACATTTGTTTACTTTATTGGAGAAAGAAAGCTATTTATTATTTCCATTACGCGCGGTGCAGACTATGATATATCACTTTCTTTTTGGGAGAATGGCAATGCTTGTCATTGCAAAGGATATAAGCTTGTTAGCTGGAAATCAATTCGCACATGTTCCCCTAAATTTCTAATATTTATGAGTTCAGATGGCTTGTAGAACAGATGATTGTAAAGAACATAAATCGAGTTGTTTCCTCCAAATATTATGCAGTGATGAATCAAAAAACAGGAATATTTCGTCGAGAGCCCTCTCATTTGGTGAAGATGGGTGATGTGATGGGAAACAAAAGAAATATTAACACCTCATTCCTATATTTATTAGCTTGACCCAATTGATATATTTGAAATTCATTTTTCCTTTAAAATCGAACTGTCCCTCCGACTAAAACTCAATTGTTATTGAGAATACAGGATCCCTACGCCAAAACAAGGGAACCACTGATAACCTTACGCTCTTCGGAGGGCTATCAACCCCTATACAATACAAGTTAATTACATATGCTAGAAAATTGAAGGTATTCTCGAAATTTTTTTTTTTTTAAAAGGAATAATATAAAGGGAACTATGGTACAGTCTTCGAAGCAGCTGGAGGGAAGGGACAGATCCTCTCGAATGGTGACACCCTTGCTAGACATGCTGTTTCATGAGCGACTAGCTATCGGAGTTCCAATCCCGGATTCAGCAATGGTGATATGAGAGGCCCATTCTTACATTCCTCCATCGGTGAATCAAACACTTGCATATGAACTGACTTGGTGATCAGATCCACATAACTGCTTGAGGTGCAGCTTGTCCATTTCAAAAATATGAGCAGCTTTGAGTTATCACGTCAGAGTTGCTCCCTGAACTGAGGAAGTGTCTGAAGGATGCAAGGTTGACATATGTGATTGCTGCATATGCGATTCATTTGCAAGACCAAGTACAGCAAGTGTTGATCTGCCAAAATGTATAAGCAATTCGAAATCACTACAGAGAGCCAGCATACAAGGGCAAATGATAATCTATATGAACTTTTAAAGCTTCATTTATATGCAAATTTCTTGAGGATTTTTTTTTTTTTTTTTTTTAAATTTGACCCAATCATTTGTTCACAATCCTTGTTAACAGTAATAGCAGTAGTAAACAAGATAAGTATCCTGAAAGATCTATGAAACATTAGTTGAACCAAAAAGAAGAAAAAATAGTAGAAACCAGAATTTTCTTTTCTTCCTTCTTCGAGTTTTTGGCACAGGGAAGGTTCCTGATAAGAATCTAGAGGACTCTACCTAGGCAGTGAAGCTTTTATGGTTGGTTGGCTTGCATAAGTAGCTAGGGAACTTCTGAGACTACCATATTTATTCAGCGTGCTTTCAAGTTGTGGAGGAGGCAACTGCAATCACCAAACAGGAAACGAAAAGTGTAAACCTAAACATAATAACCAAAGAGCCACAGATTCTCCATATGCACTAAGGAAAAGGGGAGTTCATATGTAGCAGATCCTGCGTTACCTGTAATAATACAGGAAAAGAATGTGGTTGTGTCTGAGCCACACACTTCAAAAACCCAACCCACAACTTTGGCATTCTCCAGACCTACACTCAACAAACAGACAAATATCAGTTGCCCCCGTGGCAAGCCAATTAATAAACTAAAGTTTACCAGCATGGTTGTACAGTTCTTGTTTCTAAAGCTTACCGAGGCAAATGATAGATTTAGTCACTGACCTGTTTACTCACAAGTTTGGATAGCATTTCCATGACAAAATCAACCTGGATATAACAGACAATAAGGCTCAAAAAATCATTGGTTCAATCTTTGTATTATTCTGTGATTTCATTCATATGGCACATAGCCATATCAAAACATGCATTGGCAATGGATCTTGGTGTAAAAATATTCTATTCAACACACCCTTAAATCTTCACACATAGGAATAAATAATGAAAAGAAATGCTAACAAAACCAACACAAATAACTTGATCATGCAGTCGTGATTGGTTTTGGAGTTATGAATCTCAAAGAGGCTCAGCCAAAAGTCTGTCACAAATGATTTGATAAGCAGATACAACAACGCTGTTTTTCATCAGGTCAAGAAGGTCAAACTTGCACAAACATCCAAAAACAAATTGAAACTGCCAGACAAGTTTTTACAAGGAAGCGGATATGATTTAGAACCAAAATGTGAATGAACTGAATAATGTTAAGACTTACCAGGGTAGGAAACGCATCAATTGCCTGAATAACTGTTCTCATGAAAAGTAAAGGAAGAGGGATCTGATCAACCTGAATTATATTAAGGAAAACATTACTACAAATATAAAATAATGGTATCAACCCCAGATAGCAGAGTGCATATACATACCATCTGATTCAAGGCCTTTGCTAAGACCTGCTGTGTGAAAACTGTGTGCTGCTCAAAACAAGCCGAGCAAGCATCCATTATCTGGAAAATTTTTTAAAAGAGTCATATAGAAATGTCAACGGGGTAACAGCATAGAAGAAATTACAACCATCTATGAATCCCTCAAAATAAACAATGCTTTGCAGAGTGCAGTTGTCCAATGTTCTATTTCATTCTATTTGGTTAAGTATTAAATTAATCTGTTTGTGCACACATGGGGCACACATTATCATTAATAGAGCCGGCCAAACAGAAGGGAGCAAGTGTCTTTGATTAGCAAAACCATCAGATCCCGTGATATAAACAACAAACCTTTTTGAGTGGGGGGCCACCTTTTTCAGGAATGATGTCATGTATGGCAACCAACACTTCAGTTGGGGTCAAGGCAGGACCAGTGTGTGCTGAACCCTGTAAGAACCAAGAGCCAAAGAAAAAAAAAAAACCCTTGGATTATAGTATCTTTCTACGAATCAACATTTTAACTCTAACCAAAGACTTAAAAGAATCATAAATTAAGACTCAACTTGATGGCTGCTTTTACTAGCCCTTTTGCTTCTGATAGAAAAAGAAAGCAAATAGTAATGTCTGGATGCAGACGCAAAAAATATTGCTGAAAATTTTGAACTTAAAAACCAACTTGTATGGATAGGTTCTCTTTAATAGACATCTATCATGTTTCAGTATTATCATTTGTTTACTCGTAGTAAAATTTGAGAAAGGAAAAGGCAAATACAAAAACCCTGTAGCAAAAGTGCAACCACAAGGGGCCAATGTTTTGAAAGTAAAGTTCACTCTCCCAAGGAGAACAAAACTAAAACCAGCATTAGAGTTGCACTTAAAGGTCCAGCTTCATCAATGAAGATGCACAAGCAATTATTATTTTCAGATGATGTTTTATCAACCCAAAAAATTATTAAGATCCTATAAACATATCTTGACAAATGAATAACTTAAATTCAAGATGCTAAAATCACTATCTTCAAGATTTGTTGATTCTAAATATGTTTGTTTCTTCCTTCAAAATGATAAAATGACGTAGTAATATGAAGTCACTTAAAAGAGTACACAAATGCACGACCTGAAATGTCCTAACAATTTGTGTCTAAGAATGGAAAATGATTAGTAAGGGAAAATGTTATCATACTCAATGCAAACGAGAAATTACAAAAATTGAAAAAATAAAGCATTCACATGTACCTGTAATATGCGAGCAAGTGCAAGCTGGAACTTTTCCAATGGAAGGTCAACAAGCCGAGGGAAAATAGGTAACACCTGAGAACAGTTAATGATTATAGCCAACTTGATTAATGCCACTTTTTCAATGTTAAGTTATTTAGCTGAGAGTAGGAGTCATTTCATGGAAGTGCAGCAATATGAAATTAGATCAACACCACTAATAATTCATCTTTTATTTGTTTTTGAAATGCAATGAACATACACAGTCATGCTAAGTTATTACACACAGAAAGAAAAAGAGGAAATTTTAGAAGAAACCTCATTCTTGGAAAGTGAAGATAACATTGGAATAAGGATGGTAGCATCCTGCAAATAAACAGTCATAATCATATGGCAGAAATATAACCATAGGAAAGACTGTAAAAGGCAGAAACCATAGGAGCTCTGAATATTGGGAAAGAAACCTTCAGCTTAGTTTCATATAAATGCTTCACCGTAGCTACTAAATCAGGAGAAGGTGTTGTCTCTTGTGTCAGTATTTGCAGCACCTTGCCACAAAACAAAACCACTATCAGTGTCATTCAAGAATAATCAGAAGAAATAGAGTTCCAATGCTGAAATAGATTTTCCAAATGGAAATGGAGATAGAGCCAACCAGTGTCAGAAGATTTTCACTTCCTTGTGGCGGGTCAGATATTATTTGGAGCAACTGAGAGTACAACTGACCTAAGGCTCTTATTACAATAGGGATATGGCGGTGAAAAGCCTGCATCAACAACAAATAAAGAGTACAAATGAAGGTACCACTAACAGTTACATTTGTGATTAAATACAGTAACAAAATTAGTGGAAATGAAAGATCAATTATTCAAGCAGAACTAAGTTTCTCCGTCAAGAAAGGATCCTATATCCATGAAGCTTTAAATGAGCAAGTGGCCATTCTAGACAGCATCTGGTAGAATCACTCAAGTTTTCTTATATAACTACACATATGGATTGGCAAGTATTTATGGTTCGCATTTCCCATACAAAGCAGTCGCTGATTCTCATAATTTTTTGCAGTTATGTATTGAAAGAAAAGAAAATTCCATATTGCACCCCATAATTTCGCTCAGCTGGACTTATATTCAACAAGAAGGTAAAATTGACACCAGCCAAGGGCCACAAACAAAAAGATTGAACTACATAATAGCTTGACCTAAATAAAACTCATTTTTAATTTACAACTTTAGATACTTGATTTTGGCTACCAACCTATCATCTCTTTACATATCAGTAAAGTTGCCTTGTAGGAAATTACACTACCGCATACACTAGTGAAGGCAATCCAGAACAAGTAACGAGGTTGCTTCACTTAAATTTGATTCATTTTAAGTTTGATTCACTAAAAGCTCCTTCACCGAAAGCACCTTCAGTTCACTAAATAGATCCTTCACTGAAAGCACCTTCATTGAAAAACTGCTTCACTGAAAGCACCTCCAGTTCACTAAATAGCTCCTTCACTGAAAGTTCCCTCATTGAAAGTTCCCTCACTTAAGGGTAGTTCTCTAAAAGTCGCTCCACCAATGTTACTTCAGTAAAAGAAGAACTGGATATAACCCCAAAACATGACATGGTTCTTGGGTTAATTTCACTATTAGGATGTTTATAGTTTGGCTTGGTAGATAATATATGAGTGTTTTTCCCTTCCTTTTAGAATAGATAGTGAACTCCTAACTTCACTATTCACTATCCCCAATAATCTAAACACCCACCAGACAAAGCATCAATACCTTAGTAACTGACAATTTTTATCATTATGCCTATTAAATATTCATGTTATGTAAATGCTATTTTTGCAACCTATATATTTGAGCTCCCACAATTCATTTAGGGGACTCTCAGCAGATTGACAAACCCTCTCTTGAACTCTTTCTACCTCTCTCTCTCTCTCTCTCTCTCTCTCTCTCTCTCTCTCTCACAGTTCCTTTCTTGACCTTATCTTCTGCCTTATTCAGCCTTGCTCCACTATCTCTCTAGTTCCTACACCTTGTCTACACCACCTGCCACCACAATCGATACTTCAGGGTCTGCTTCAATCTTCTTCTCTGCTGACTCCCAATTCATCCTGTTTTGCTTGTTTGCAATGCTTCCTCTCCCTAACAAAGAACCCTTTTATAACAACCAAAGAGCCAACCTAATCTAAACACTTATTAGACAACAGAACAACAAAAATTCATGGTTTACTTCAAATGAGATCAAACCACCTATTGGCTTTAGAAGTTGAGCTTACCTAGAAATGTTAATTTTATATTTGTATCACACATGCTTGAAAACCAAATTCAAACTTTCAAATCAACCTAATTGCTGTCAGCTTAGAAAAGACCTAACGTTTTGAATGCCCAACAAGAGTGGCTGTAGGCTTTCAGAGGCTAGGTAAATTATTAAAACCAAATCACACTACATCTTATGTGATTTCCAGTAAACAAACGCTGTTACTCTATTACTATCACAGGAGCAGATAAAAAGTTACAAATCATGCAATATTTTCGGTGAAGATAAATCAAACTCCCCATAAACCGGAAAAAAGATTACATGGACAAGCAGCCTATCTAATCTGTTCCTAATAGTTATATGATGAACATGGAAACAGACAAGACATACCTGCTTTACGGTTTTTGGTGCTCGCCCATAAATATCAAATGAGAGCTGAAGAAGACTAGGCTTCTGAAAAAAAATCCATTAACATTACACAGATATACACCACAAACACAAAAAAAAAAAAAAAAAAAGAGAGAAAGAAACTGTCAACAGAAGCAAACCTTTGTGCATAAAGCAAAAAACAGAGAAATGAGTCTTTGAGTTTCAGAAAATGACACTACTGGAGGACTATTACTTGTTGATTTTGTATTCATAGAGTCAATTCCAGAAGCTGAACCACTAGTAGATGTGTCCCCGCTTCCAACCTGAAGAATTTTCAGCAAGAAAAATTAAGATAAAAAATTGAAACAAATTTAAGTCTGGCCAAAAGTCTACATTTGTTTGAACCAGGACATGCAGAAATGTTAGGTTGTGCAGCTCATTATACTAGACTGACAAAAGGTGATAACTGCTGAAAAATGGCTAAGGTTCTTAGGGCAAGGCATGGAAGAGAACTCACAAAATAGAACTTGACAGCAAAAGCACAATACAGTCCATACAGCTTTTAAGCAAATGCAAAATATAGACCTTGAAAATAAACAACAAAAATAGCTAACAACTTATGCACCAAAAACCAACAGAACCTAATATATTAATCCAACTTTCTCTCACAAATACTCCATAATGGTCATGAAATCCATATTAGCCACCAGCTAAATATTGAAGTTTGAAGTACTTGGAAAAGCAACAAGAAGGGGCTTTTAGAACATATCCCTAACCTCCCTTTCGCCTCTTTCATCAATGGAACCAGACTGCAAAAACTCTGCACCTGCAACATGGTGATCCACAGCAGACAGCAACATATTTGTTGCAAATTGCTCAATTTCCCCAGATACGTAGCTCAGCTGATAAAGTTTGTTTGCTACCTGTGCAATATAAATTTAGGAAACAGAGAAAGGACTCATCCTTGCAACAGAAAGCCAAAATCTTGAAAGGCTTGGTAGAAGACACAAAAGATGTCATAAAGGAGTGAGTTCTCTTACCAGCCGTATAGCTTTGCCTCGAATGTCATCTTGAGAGTGAACAGCACACTGCAATCAGGGAAGAGTAACAAAATGAAAAAAAATAAATCATGCACCAAAACACAACTAAAGTGGGACTAAATGCATTCTATGATGCTTCTCCCCTCCATGTGGAAAACTATAGCCTAGAAAATCTGAATGATATTTCTCATGCAAGTGTGGACCCTCCCAAGGGTAAACATCAGCAATAATAGGGGAGAATTTTAAGACAAGCATTCAACAAATGTAGATTAAGGCATGTAACCCATGAACAATTTATCACTAAACTATTGTCTTGGCCAACTTACCTTCAATGCTATACCTAAGCAGGCTTGCCGATTATTTGGACGTCCCAAAATTAAACTCCACACCACACCAAGGCCTTGCGTTACACGCTCAGCATCACGAATCTCTCTCCCAGTAACATCAAACACATCAGTATAGCAGAGATCATCTAATAGTTTCAAGGCAGAGTCAGGCAGAAATGGAACTTCGCCAAGAAGTCTACTAAATGACTTATCTGAGGCCGGAAAAGTGTCCAGCAAAGATTTGGCCTGCAGAAAATTAAATTAGATAAATCCATAACTCAGAAAAAATTATTACAAGATTGGTTCACTTAAATAAGAGCTTACCACTGCCAGGAGAAAATTTTCATAAAGAACAGCAGAATATGAAGAGTTATCAACTGAATTTGAAACTGTGAGAGAATATAGGTGGTAGAGAACTTGCAATACAATCTCGTGACCCTGACAAACATCACAATATAACATAATGTTACAAAAGTTTGAAAAGGAGGAATCGATATGCAAAAAAAAAACACAAATGTAATACAATTTCAGGATTGATTGAACCCATAGGCTCATCGGACCAAGACAAACAGCCTAGGACCACCATATTTGAATGTCAAAACAACAATCCATGAAATTTGGTACTAAATATGGATGACATCCACTATAGTAGGCACTGAGATCCATCAAGCAAACAAATTGAATAAACAAGAAAATTGGTTTCACACTTTCCTTCTCGACCAACAAATAAACAAGAAAAATACAATCAAGTGGAAGTAATGAACTCAACCGTACTGTACTGCACAGACAATCAAACAATCAACAAGAAACAGCCATCAGACCAGAATAGCTTAGTAGGATGAGAACATTGTAAAATTAATGCAAAGTAAACTATCTGCCAAAGAAAATACTGTGTGGTAAATAAGCATAAAACTAAATTGATTGATTGAAAAAAATGTGAATCATGTGATAAACAGAACCACATAGCTGAAATATGGTATGCCTTTGTGTGTGTGTGTGTGTCACAGAGAGAGAGAGAGAGAGAGAGAGAGAGAGAGAGAGAGAGTTATTATACCACCAACTAAAAACTTCAAAATGGCAGAACAAAACAAAAGGAAGAAAAATGCAAAAATTAAGAGAGAGAGAGAGAGAGAGAGACTTCAAGTTATTACACCACCAACTAAAAAACTTCAAAATGACAAAACAAAACAGAAGGAAGAGAAATGCAAAAATTCAAAGCAGAAAAGAAGTAACAAATGACAACTTGAATACCTTTTGTTGTCGGTAATCCACAACAATTTGTTTTCCCAACATGACAACAATATCATCAGCATCAATCTGAAAGGAAACATAAGCACACGTAATTTTGTATACGTCACTTGGCATAGGAACTTAATAAAACATAGCATTGAATGCTATTAGTACAAGGATCTGAAATTTGTGAAATCATCCAACATAATTCTAGATATTATTCATAGTTTTGCAATTTAGGAAGTTTTCAAGTGCACACTTGTACAAGGTAGGAGAATGTTGGCGATTAATCAAGTCTAGGGTTTGGGATATGGGGGGAAAAAACAGAGGGATTTTGGCACATTCAGAAAAGGAAGAGGACATTACTTCAGGATATCCCTGAAAGGAAACTAAGACTTTTCACTTGGGGACAAAGGTGTACCTTTTTAGAAGGCCTTTGATCCATTAAACTAATTTATTTCAGCTCACTGAGACATGGATCTGTCTGTCTTTTCCCATCATAACTTGATCAAAGCAAACCTATGTTATCCACAACCATAAGCCTAAGAATCACTCATTTTCTTGAATCTATGCACATGAAAACACACTGGTAGTTTGTTCGAAAAAAAATAACACACGTTGGATTTGCCCCAAACCTGCCCTACGTTAATAGTAGTCAATACACAGTGAAAAGCATATTTGTAAAGTACTTCAACCACAGTTCATTAAAAAAGAATGGAAAGGCTTTACACTATAAAGGCTGCCATCAGCCTATTGGCCTTTGAAGCAGACTGTTATTCCCACAGAACCTCAGGCATGCTATCTATTTAATATTTGAATCTCTCTTTCTCTAAACGAGGTGGTTGTCTCTCTTCTCAAGTAATTTTAGATGATGAAGGGAGAGGCTTCAGGCACCTAACTCAAGTAGGTGATGCTCAGAACAAACTTTATGCCTTCATTTAAAAATCTAGATCTATTATGATAATCAGCCACCCAAACATTATGCAGCATGTAAACTGTATATTGATGTTAACAAAGCATTAAACTCTTGATTCAATCTGCAGTTTGCATGGTAACAAAGTTCAAGACTAAAAACAGCACAATGGTAAGTCAGAAGAGAGAGAGAGAGAGAGAGAGAGCAGCGGCAGCAGCGGCAGCAAACATTCAGAGAAGAGAAACAAATCAGAATATATATAAATATATATATCTATATATATAGCCTGTCACCTGACCAACCAGCCGTGCAATTAACGCCATGCGCATTTGGTTACAGTCTGACCAATGAAGATGCAGGTATGATTCAGCAATCTGTTGAACTGCTGATTTTCTCACACTTCTTTTCTGCTCTTCAGTTAGCTCAACATATAGTGGTAGCACAGGTAAATCCTGCCCAATCTCATCCAAAGAAGATATGTTTAAAGTAGCAGGGAAATTCTGATCAAACTCTGGAAAAGAAGATGCATCAGTCTCATATTTCAATTCAGCATCTGCCTTCATTTCAGCTGAATCTTCATCATCCATACGAAGAAGAGAAAGTGCTCTATTGGAAGAAGTCTTGACATCTATACTGGGAACAATGTCTTCCATACCACCCAGAACATCCCCTTCAGGAGCTGGTTGCTCAACAGCAGAAACTGACAGAACTTCTATTATTTTATCATCACTTTTGGTGTTAGACATTGAATGCACAGCAGCATTTTCAACAACTGTCACAGAAAGAAGCTTATTAGAAATAGAACCATCAAACTCAGCCATTGCAGTGCCAGTGTCCTCTGGAACAGGTGATGGCATTCCAACAGATACAGCAGGTCGTCGTGGATCTAGGCGACGGAGATCCTGAAAGGGTTAGCATTAACTTCCATTTGACTAAATGGAATTAAAAGAAAAAAAAAAAAAAAACCTAAATCTAGGAAAGGATAAACTATTTACGAAGCAACAAATGATGACAGACACAAGTGGTTACCCTTCTTGGGTCACGTTTGGAATCTGCAGCAAAATTATTGACAGTGGATGCAACAGACACTGATGAACTGGTTGTAGCAGCTGAAGTAAAGGGCAATTGTGCTGTGGGAACAGGAGAGTGCAAAGAATTTGTTGGAGCAGGAGGTGGCACAACTTGAGCTGGACCATTTACATAAACAGCTTGTTCTGTTATATGCAATATCCCAAGCCTTGTTAATGGTGCAGGACTTCTAGGCAAGTGCCTCATATTTGTGATGACAATATCAGCCAGAAGATCAGGATGAATTTTTGAAATAAGAATTTCAAGAGATTCAGCACCTCTTTCTCCTTCAGCAAGCAAAGCACCAATCATTGCAATCATTTGCTCAACAGGAGTTAAATTACCATCCGAAAGTGGAAAATTAGGAGATTGTCCATTAACAGAAGCAAAATGCTGCCCAGAATCATTTATTTGAGTGGCTGATATTGAATGGGAATTGGGACCAGAGTGAATACGCTTGGAGGCCATTTCAAAACTATTTGTTAGTTCTTCATTATCATGAGACATAGATCTTTTCTTTGATACATCCCCTAAAACATATGCTTGGCTTGATGATTGATCATCCTGACAAACATAGTGTTTACCATGAGAAACTGGTAAAAGCTACCAAGAAATAACTCTTACCACTGAGAGAAACTTATTACTACTATTATGTACTAAACAGTTTTTTTTTTTTTTTTAATATCATTACCCTGCCTGACTGAGTTTCCCGTGAAGCACGCTCACTATTTTTTATCATCTTTTCAACCTGTCTGATGACATGATCAGCAGCATCCCCAGCATTCATTGCTCGTAGAGCTCTAAGCAATCTGTCTCTCGACTGATCATTCAAAACAACACCTAAATTGTCAGGTACAAGAACACTGAACAGCCTCTAAAGTTCATAATTACTGGCCTTATAGGCCTAAGTTTCATACAAGCCAGGAGTTGTCAACAAAACCTTTGTAAACCTTTGTAATACACATTTCCATTGACTTTTTAACCTTTGAATAATAACTCCACCAAGAAAGCAATCATTGTCTAGAGGGAGGATAATAAAATAATTATAAAATCCAAAGTAATAGAAAACACTGATATTTGGATGCCAAACTCTTACTAATCTGTATTATATAAATAACAAATTAGTTACTACAAAACATCATTTGCTCCTGTAATTGGTATCTGAATTCTCCAAAAATTCTAAAAAATTACCTCTATAATAGCTGGATAAGTACATCTCAGGAATCCCATAAATGCAGTTCTCAAGGAATACTGAATACTTGCGGTATGACATCCCCTCACCGTCTCAAAGTTTGGATTAAAATCGAGAAGTGCAGAAAGAACAGTGCCATAGTGGAGGGGTCTCTTCCTTGCTATGGCAGCAAGACTGTCAAACAAAAAAGAGGATTGGTTATAGCAAAACAATAACAATAGTAGCTCTAGCAGTGGAAAAAGAATTCAAATTCCTCACAACCGAACAAATACAAGAATGAAAAATTAATAGCTGAGATCTATAGCTATTCCAAGACAAAATAAAAAGTCAGAATTATACCAATCTCAACGTCTAGAGTGAGACATCTTGTTAGTTGTCACAATCAATCACAAATCCATATTAAGGTTAGCTTTTTATACCAATCTCAACTATAGGGGTAGCACAACAGAACAATTGTGAGGAAAATCATTTCTGATTCACTCCTCCTCGAAGCCCCACTTTGATATAACCATTATTTAGCTAACAAACCCCCCTCACACCACCCCTCTTTTCTCTATCAGTGATAGAGCTTTTAAGAAGAATGTAATCAGATGTAACCAAGCCTGAAGGAAACCAGAAAAACAATTGCACACCATAAGAACACTAGAAAACTAAAGCAACACATTGTAACTCCAAAACAAGATAACTTAAAAGGGACTACAATAAATATTTGGAGACCTTCACAACAAAGAAGAAAAAAAACCATTGGTTAACCATCCATTATTGACATAAATATCTGGTTTAATCACTATCTTTCACCTAAAAGATAAATAACCTTTCCCCAAATCAACTATTCATGTCAATGCTCCTTGTCTCCAACATTTTATAATTTGCTCTAGTAAACACTGCGGCAAAACCAAGCTTTCTACTGACTGTTAACTTTACTTTCCAATAAAGTTCTCTATAGATCAAGCTAGTTCCCACATTCATCCACGTTACATCAGTAGAGCAAACATTTCTTTAGAATCGTGATTGAACTGTCATCAATAAACCAACATTTAGCAACAAATTCTTAACTCTTCAGTAGGATAACCAGGAATAAAGAAAGAAATAAACCATAGATACAACAGCCAGTGACAGCAAATACTTCACTCTGGTGTGGTTACCAACAGAGCATGCTTAGCAAAAATATAATACTTAATTCAACAACCATGATATGTTATTACCATAAATAAACTTCTCTTTTCAGCTATTTTTAATTTTAAACATAAAAGAACTCAATATTAGAACTTGACCATATCTCATGACTCATAGATACGCCCATATCTCTTAAAAATTTAGTCAATTCAAAATCCAAAATTCTAGGTTTCTTAAAACTATTGCAGGACCTGAGACACATTCATTATACAGACCACATGATAAATAACATGCATTGGGGTGCAAAACCCATCCCCATCAGTGCCACCAGCAAAGAACAAGAGCAACCAAACACTATTGGCCTCCCAACATCTTAACAGTCAATTGTCACAATCATTGTTATCATCGCAACCTCCACCATCAGTTTGGTCACCATCACCCTAAATGCTTCCACACAAGACACCCTTTTTAATAATAAATTCGAAGAACAGTGGATTTTAAAAAAGCCATTTTAGTTTTTTCTCTTTATATATTTCTAGTTTCTCAACCAGAAATGCAAACCAATAATTCAAATTCAACATACTCGGACTAGGCAGGCTAAGATACAACTTTATGAATAAAATCTGCCTCGCTAATGCTCAAATGGAACATCATATACACAACTGGTAAGAGGAGAGAGAAAGAGAGGCCTTCTTCCTTATGCTTTTTTTACTCCATTATATTTGTTAACAAACAGAAAGAGAATGTCCACACAAGGTGAGCCAACAGAATATGATCCCAAAACAAAAATGAGGAAAAGAAAGGGAAGGTTCCATATGCTTTACAGGCAATTAAAGCAAACATGATCCTAAATGATGGGAGCATGTATTTCAAGCAGTTAAAAAATGAGAGAAACAATAGAGCAAATCCTTAAACAACTCAAGCCCTCAGCAGAAGTAAAACTAATACAATATGAATCTCTCCTCCTTACCAAATGATTGACTCCTAATAACATGCTATTGAGATTAGTTCACCATATTCAACAAGGCTTGCATTTCAAGAGCACTGTTAAATTTTTGAATAGGTCAAGTCACATCTAAAAACATATTCCCCACTCTTTTAACTCATGCTTTTGATGATGCATAAAGTAGTCACTTTGTTGCCAACTAGTTAAATCACTTTCCCAAAGAAATACTTAAATGGAACGCCATTTAAACATCAGTGACTCAAGCAACTTCAGACCTTGAACACTATGACTCCATGGTTATTTTAAGTTACATAAAACACTCTCAAGTTAATAAATAGAGACATCGATTAAAATAAAAGTCAAGGAAACTAGTTCAGGTCAGTATTATTGAAACATATACACATAAGATATTAGGGAAAATAAAAAGGTCATTATTACTGTAAAAGTAACTCAACAGATGACAGTAATTACAACCCAATAAAAATCTTGGGGAGAAAAAAAAGGAAAACAATACATTCTAATAGCAACAATGGAAGCAAATAACTCAATTTTTTAATGGCACATTAGCCTCCAACTTCACTGATAACTAGAGAAACTTAACCAGCAATGTAGCTAAAGCAGGTATTTAGTCATGCGCAGCCATTGCATCTACTGCTTCAAGGGAATCACATAAAAAAGTATCACTAAGAATCAGAAAACTTTATGTTTTACTCTTTGATTTCATTGAAACCCTGAAGAAATAACCGTAACTTGGTAAAAACCATGCCCTTATAGCCAATAGGCTTGTCTACCAACATTCTATATATATCCAATCAATACACAGAAGGCTTCAGCACACATAAAGACCAACCAACAGATGCAACATCACATAAATAAGAATCTTTTTAACCTCTTTCAAAAGTATCATTCAAAGTTCCTCATGGTTCCAACCACCATAAAAAGTCTAAAATTATTTCCATGTTGAAACTGATATAAGATGCCTTAAATAATTTTCAAGTTCATGCCTAAGTATATCATAGAACCTAAGTACATATCACACAGGGAAGCAACATCTCAATATTGTCAATAAATTACAGTACAACAATTTTGACAGAGTTCAAGGAATTTTATCTTTTTGGCATATAATATTTTCTACATTTGAAGTAAAGTTTAGTATTTTCTACTTATAAACAACCATATTAAATTCAATAAAGGCTTTAAAAGCAAAAACATGTTTCTTTGACCATTTCAAAGCCTCTTTATTCTTGATCATTCTGGACAGTTAAGTCCTCCAGATATTCAATTTATAACACAATATCACCCATCTTTCCTAGCTGCTAGGTATCCCATGATGTAAACTATTAGGATCTCAACTTCAATGCAGATGCTATTCTTTAAGTAAACAAAACAGTGAATGTCTTCTTGCATAACCACCAACCATGTATGCAAACCTGCTCAACATACAAAAGATGGTGCAACCTGCAAACTTAACTGCACTACATTCTTGCCAAATGATTATTTACATGCAAAACAAATGAACTGTGTATTCGTAGCAATGGACCGACAAACAAGCCAGAAGCACACACCATCTCATCAAACAAAAATTTCGAACAATTTTCTAAACAAGCTTGTGATAAACAAGATTAAAGTTTGTCTTTCAAATTCTGAAATCTCTTCTAATTCTCTTTGTTTCTGGCCAAAAGAAAACATTTTCTATTAGTAAGATGTCAATAAACATAATACATTTTTCACCTATATCATAAAGGTTGGAGTTTAAAGTGATATAAAGATAGAAAAACGTTGCTAAGATTAAAACTCAGAGGAAACTAGGCAGTTTTGATGACAATGGTACAAAATTGATAATGATGCAGTCTCTCTTTTGAAAAAAAAAAAAATACCCGTACAATGCCAAGCCATAGAAAAATGTACTTTTGAAAACAAAAAAAGAAAAAATAAATAAAATTGAGTTATATATTAATATTGGTTTGAAATGCTTAAAATATACCATTCCATGGATAACAACCTAGAACCACTTGCCCTAAGCAAAACCCTTACATGTAATCAAAATGCTTGCCTTTATGCAGTTAGAAACTGGGTTGAGACATGACAGGAAGTGTCATTGATTACACTGAAAGATTTTCTTGGATGGCAACAAGTTTTGCATCCAACCACTTCAGTGCCCATGCACTAGAATGTATTTCAAAGAACTACGTCAACAAAGGGCCAATCAATTACCTAAAAAGAGAAGTAATTACAAGAAAAAGGCTTTTAAGCCAATATCCGAACAGCTGAAGAGCTTGCAGAGAATGTAGTCTTGTTGTTGACCATAAAACCAACAAACTAAGCTCCATGAATAGAATGCAGCATCAAAATAATAAGTATAACAAAAATTGGAAACATAGCAGATTTAGCAAAATAATCCAGTTAAAAAAAGAATTTTGATTATTAAAGTATTTAATGTGCATCAACTGTTGTAAAATAACCAATACATTTTAAAGTAGCTTGCACATTTTCAGCTGTACAAATATACAGCAGAAACCCAAATAATAATATGATCTCCCTAATAGTTTACTGCATTGCCTGATCACCAAGTTTCTCAGCACAAGTTGGCTGGCCATTATATGCATTGCTTGACCATTCCTATCATTGGCCAATGGTGCTCCATAGTACACATAAATGAGAACATTGTCTCCCCGTAACTCCCAAAATCTGACCCAGCAATGCTGCAGTATCCAAGGCCATTAACTCCTCAAAAGAGAGCCGGATAGCATGCTGCAATGGTATCACAAACAAGCAGTTGAACTTGTACTACAACCTGTTTCCAAGCTTCAGCAATCTCTCCAAAACTTTTAAAGATAGTAAAACAGAGGGCAATGCTAAATGCAACGCAGTCCCCATATTATAAAATTTAATATTAATTGATCAGATATGGACAGTAAATGCAATCAATAAGTTTGCATATGGAAAAGCAGCATTACAAAACACTGTCATCATCTAGCTTGAAAGTAAGTGCTCTTCAGATATGACAGGGTATAATATCTTCTTGGACTCAAGATAAATAAAACGGAGAGCACAATGAAGATGCAAATAAAGCTCCCAGCTCTAACATTAATGGGAAAAGCAAAGGCAATATGGACAGCATTCTTGACCAAATGAGATTTGATGCCAATGCTTATCAACTCCAAAACAAACAAAACAGTTTTTTTTTTTTTAACTCCATTCAACCATTATATGTCCTATCTATGAAGCTAAATAAACAAAAAAAAAAAGTAAGCAAAAACATAAAGCTTTATGACCCCCCTGACAATTTTAACTTCACATTTCCAGATTTTATCAAAAACTATTCACAATAACGATGCAACCAGAAAGAGAACAAAGAAAGCCATAAATTCAGAAGAGAAAGGCTCATAAACTGTAGAACAATAAAAAATATGTACTGGTGACAGAATACTCACCAATTGATAACAGTGATTGTTACAGAGCCAGGGAGACTACCGGCTGATTGCAAAATGTCCAGTAAAACAAAAAGAGTCCTGTTTGCATCTGATGTTAGTGCAACGGGATCCAAAATAGGATAACCACCACTCAACCACGATACATTAAAAGTCCATCTACTCCCTCTGGTAGCTAGAGAAACATTAAAAGAAATAAGTTTCCAGGGAACCAGCAGCTAGAATATATCAATATGGAAGTTCTAAGAATGGCATAAAAAATGGAAGTCCTACAAATGACCCAAAAAGTCAAACACAGTGTATGGGCCTTAAACCAAATCACGTCCTAGAGAAGTTTGGAGCCCTTAACAATTGGAATGCAGTACCTTCAACAAATTTTTCAGAATCAACGTTGTCAAATGTTAAAAGTAAGACATATGTCTCCAAAAATTTCAGCGCCAGCAACTTTGTCCCAACTGAACCAGGCTACAAATTTAAATCAAAGAAACATTGATTGCACATGATTAGCAAGTTGAAAATATCAATAGAAAGAACTAAAATTAAATAATTCTAAATAATCCTCAATAGACAGAACTAAATAAATTTACAGAAGAGTTACAAAAGTGAGGGAAAAGAAATGGACGTGTATAACCATCAAACAAAAACCACAATCAACCTAAGATTTAAAGCCACACCACCTCAAACAGATACAAAACCTTTCTCTTGAATCCGTCACCACCTCAAGATAAAGCATTTAATTATTTGTCTAATTCTCACCTGATAAGTATTAAGAAAGAAATACCCAAAAACTTATGGCTTGTCATTTTAATCACACTTCTCATAGAAATAAAATAACTTTCTAATGTACAGTTTCTCTATATTGTAAACATGGACATAAAAGAAGCCTAATATCCAGTAACCATTTCTTACTGTTAACCGTAAGAAGGTCAACCTACTCAAAAGCCACTCCTTTTAGCAAGTCCACACAGCCACCCGTTTTCCCCAAGGGAAAAGCATAAGGAAAGAAAAAGAACAGACATATCCAATATTATAAAATGAATGAAGGCCATCAGAATAAAGGTGGTGTTTATAAATCATTAAAATTTTTCAACCAGTTGAAATTTTTAGCTTACAATGATTTAAGATTTCAACTGTGTTTGGTCACCCATTTTGGGCACCACTTAATCAAAAATTCTACATGAAACCTGCCAAACTTGTTAATTAGTTAAAACTTATATTTTAATTAAATTTTCTTTTATGCTATTTTTTGTAACTCTTGTTAGATGTAAAATCTCTATTAAAATACGTCTCTTTTTTTCAAGAAACTCAATAAAAATATATTTGATATAAAAAATTTCTACAAAAAGTGAAAAAACCAACCAGTTTTCATAGAATTAATTCAGTGCTAAAAATTCAACATCTAATATTTCAATTTATCAAACAGTATCTAACTTGGTCAATATATTACAACACGTCAACAATTGAAAATTAGCCCACACTTGCTTAGAATTTGGAAAGCCAAAGTAAATATGTCATATATACCTCCAATGCAATGGAAAACACACCTTCCTTGAACCTAACAATCCACATCCATAGTTCTTCGAGCCACTGGTCAACTTTACCATGCTGTTGAAACTATAATTTCCCAGAAAAAATTGAAAAATTTTAGGTAGAGGTAAAAAAACCAGATAGTTTGAGAGATTAATCAAATAAGAAAATATAAGAAGGGAGATAAAGGAATCATATCATCATTTTTTGGAGTTATTTAATTTACGAATGAAAAGACACTGTCACTAAGTGATTAAACATATTATAATACACTCAAAATAATCAGAAAGTAGCAACATAAAACAAGCAGCAATCTTTAATAGTTCAAAACACATATGTTCAAAATCCCAAAGCATGACACTCCAATTATGCATGGAAGCATAAAATAATATAGCACGGAAATATCATTAAAAAAAAATCTGACTGCGTTAGGACTACATGTTTACTTAAAAGGTAGAAAGTAACCTGTAATGCCATTTCTTCCAAAACACTGCAGAAGAAATGTGTGCCACTAACAACAGATTGCCTCACAACATCGGAGTCAACATCCCTCAAAAACGCTACAAACACAGGTACTATCATAGTAGAATGCTCCATCGCTTTTAATGCAATATCTTCAATTATCCTTTCAACCATTGACAAAAAAAAAAAAGGAACAAAATCACAGCTACAACTTTAGGAACCTAGCAACATATAATCAGAAGACAAAGCATCGCAATCCTTCCTAAGCAATTAGATCAGTAAAATTATAAATTTAGTTTTTTTTATCAAAACTAAAAAACGAAGCAGTCAAGCATTCAGCGGCAAGATTTAAAGAAATTGTAAAGAAAGAATACGAAAAGAAAGAAAGAAAGAGCAGAATTAGGGTTTGAAACTCACTCGACGAGAAATTTCCTAACGAGGCTGTAAGGCGAACGCTGGAGGTCAGCTAGGCAAGGGAAGAGGTCGGCAGCGGAGGAAGAATCGAGAGAGGAAAGAATATCCTTGGCCTGTTTAAGAGACGAAAGCTTCACCGCCAAATCGGCGTGGTTGTTCGCGGCGGTGAGGAGAGAGAGAGCTTGGTCTCTAGAATCAGCAACGGCCATAGCTTCGACTTCGGCTTCGGCTTCGGCTTCCCCTGGAGAATTTCGATCGATCTTGGGTGGGAGTCGTTGTAAAGGGGAAAAGCGTCGGGGTTTTGAGGGGTAAGGGGTTTGGAGTCGAGGGAGGAGCATATGAAAAATTTTAACGAGGCGCAGAGAGATACAGAGGAACAAATTTTTCCAAATTTTGAAAAAAAAAATTTTTTTATTCTTTTGTAAATGGGTGTCTCGTGTGAGAGAGGTTGAAATCTCGTTACAAGGAGATAGGGTCGAAGATTCGGAATGCGCTTTTGAAAATCGAAAGTGGGTTTATAAGTTGAACGTTTTGTTTATTTATGTACTTCGTTTGCCAAACGAGTCGCTAACATGCATCTGTGGCAAATTATGCCCCTGTTTTTTTTCTTGCTCCGTACGCTTCCAAATGCATCCATATTTTTTACACTCTTTTTTTTTTTTAATTATCTTTAGATAAAATTAATTAATTATTTTTTATCTCAATTTTAAATTTTTGTTGAATATATATGTTTAATAAATTATATAATTTATTGGATATCCAAATAAGTTATATAACTTACTAACTTATCAAATTTTACACTTAAAATTTTAAAAAATATATATCAATTGAGAAAAAAATCTCATATTCTAAAAATCTTTTACAATATTGCAAAGAAAAAGCATCACTTATTTCAAATAATTATAAACTCATTTATAAATTTATAAATAAAAATATTGGTTTTTAAATTTTTTTTATTTCAAAAAATTTTTGAATATCCGAATCTTGAAACTTTTAAAAGCTTTTAGATTTATAAATTTTAAAACTTTTAAAATTTTCTAAATTTACAATTTTGAAAGCTTAAAAACGTGAAGGGATTTAAGAAAGGATAATTAAGTAATTTTATTTTAAAATAATTTTGAAAAAAATTGTTAAGAGAAAAAAAAAGCATTTAAAAGCATCTTGATAAAATATATATAAGAAAAAAAAAAGAAGAACGTTAAAACATTCATAAATAATAAATTAAATTAAATCGTAGCCACTTTCAACGAAATTAAAGATCATTTAACAGTATTAATGAATTTTTTTTCCTTTAAAAATCATCACCAAAAAAAAAAAAAACGCAAAATAGTGCATGCAACCTGATTTTTCAACAGCGAACTTGAAAATGTAAAGATATTAATATTTCAGTAATTTGAAGTGTAGTTTGATTAAACAACCTCAACGTAAGAGATAAAAATAAAAAATATATAGTAATACTTTCTATTTCTTTATTTTATGCTTCATTTGAATAGTCTTGGATGTAAGATGGAAAGAGTCCAGTGATGGATGATCTATATAAAAGGAAAGGAATTCTTTAACATGATTGAAAATGTGCAGAACTAACTATCTTTTGGAACATCATCAAATGCTGAACTCATTAGTCTTGATTCAACTGCATCAGCAAGCAATTGCAGTTCTCAATCTGCAAATGGTTCAAGACAAGAAAGCATCTCTTAGTAACACTAGAAAAAAGTACATACATTAAGAGATGTTACTTTGCCAACCAGAATGAAGTAACGGGAAAGAAAGACCTGACATAAAAGATAATTTTCAGACCTTAATGAGATGAGCTGCTTTCGAACTCTCGTGATCCAATATAGACATGTGCAACATGACTTATTTTAGGCCAATCTTCACCTGTATCCTTCTTGCACCTCTCTTCCAGAGTTGGACATTCTAGAATAGATAAATGCTGAAGGGAACCAAGAGACTGCAGACCACTAGGGAGGGAAGTTAGATTATGACAATCTGATAATGCCAAAGATCTGAGTGAGGTAAGCCCTGATATGCATTCTGGCAAAGCCATCAGACCGGGACAGCTTCGAATTTCTAGATTCTGCATTGAGGTGACATATTGTAACCCCTCGGGAAGACATTTCAACTCTTGACAATTCAAAATTGATAAACTCTTAAGAGCAGACAGACGTTGGAAACTGTCAGGTAGAGATGCCAAATTTGGACAGTACATTATTGTTAAGTACTCAAGGACCGTCAGAAATTGCAACTCCACTGGTAAGAACTTGAGATTACTGCAGTTCTCAATTGACAATGATCGAAGAGAGCGCAGGCCTTGTATACCCTCTGGCAAGGAAATAAGACTAGGACATTCAATTATCTCCAGAGACTCCAAGGAGGTGAGGTTTTGCAATCCTTGAGGTAATGAATGTAGCTCTTCACACCAGCAAATTGCTAATGATTTCAGATTGATGAGTTTTCCTAAACTTGGAGGGATGGAGTGAAGCTTTGGACAAGAGCTAATCTTAAGAGACATGAGAAGAGGATTGTTTTGGAGCAGCTTCTCCAAGTAGAGCAAGTGCTCTACAAATTCATCTATCACAAGGATGCTTAGAGAAGTTAGGTTCGATGCCGACCTTAGTACCATTTCATTGCAACTGTGTAGCTCCAGATGCCGAAGAGATGGCATCCATGGCATGTTTTGCAACCTAAAACATTTTTTGAGTGTTAATTTGACCAGAGAAGGGAATTCCTCTCTCCTGTTGAAACCCCACCAGAATTCTAAAGAAGGGAAATCTATTAGTGCTAGCTCTTTCAATGAAGGGAACGGTCTACCAGTGCCTTCACCATAGAATTCTGCTCCAATGTTTCCCACTGCATCCATCCCTTGCAAGGAGAGGACCTTAAGGAGGGGAAGTTGACCCAACAAAGGGAGATATTTACATCTCCTGCAGCTAATCAATGTGAGTTCAATTATATTTGGAAGTTTATGAACATTCATCCATCTAGGCAAATAGATTCCTTGGTAACCTCTAATGGACAACTTCTCCAGATTTTGATGTGGTTGGAGGCAATTGAGAACTTCTAACATTTCATCATTAGCAAAATTCCCATTTAGGCCATTAAAGTCACTTTCCCAACACAGACTCAAGCATTGAAGGTTTCGCTTTCCTATCAAGTGAGCTTCCGTTGCCTCCGTTGCATCCCTTACATTCTGTAACTGTCTTATATAAAGCTCTCCACCAAGGTTTAGATTTTGCAGCTGGTTAAGGTGTTGACCGGCATCCTTTCCCACAATAAACATAGACAATGTTCGAAGGTACTCAAGTTTTCCTATGCAAGGTGGCATTGTAATTAGTCTCTCACAGCCACTTATCATCAAATGTCTCAGTTTATAAATTTTGGTTATGCCACTTGGTAGTTCAGTGAGATTATAGCAACCTGAAAGGTTCAACACTTGTAAGTTGCGAAGGCTGCAGATGCTTTCAGGTAAGTTTTCAATATGGGTGCTAGAGATGTCAAGATATCTCAAAAATATGGCAGAGGAAATTGAATCATGCAACTTTTTGATGCCACTACCACTTAAATCCAGGACCCGCAAATGTCTAAAACTTGAAAATATTCCTCCGGGAACTTCTCCAAGGTCACCTTTTGGGAGCAATAAGATGAGGGATCGTAACTTTGTTGCTGCATACAAAGCTTCTGGGACTGTATATAAGCTGAAATTACAAACCACTGTTGAATGACGAACTTCAGATAGATCTTCTGTTACACTATCACGCTCCAGCATCTTGAATTCATTTCCCACTATTGACTGTGCAAGATCATGAATGAGATCATGCATTTTACAATCAGTTATGTAGCCACTTTCAGTCTTGTGAATATCTTGAAAAAAAAACATCCACACTAGATCATCAAAATATTCATTTCCAAAATATTCTAGCGACCTTCTTCCTTCTGGTGATTGAATTAAACCTGCTGCAATCCACAACTGGATTAACTTCTCCCGTTTTATTATGTAATTTTTGGGAAATATTGCACAGTATGCAAAGCAGAATTTCAAGTGTGGTGGTAAGTGACTGTAACTCAATCTTAAGGCAGGTAAAATTCCATTTTCACTTTGAGATACATCCCAGAGGTCACTCTCTTGGACAACCAACCACTCTCTTTCTTCTCTTTTGAATCGCATTAGACTTCCCAAAGTCTTTGCTGCTAAAGGCACACCTGCACACTTCTTGACAATTTGCCTACCAATAGGAAACAAGTTCTGGTGCTCCTTCTCATTGTTGCCAAAAGCTCGTTGCTTGAACAAAGACCAGCAATAATCATCAGATAGACCTTCCAATTGATGTGTGTATGTTGATTCCATTATCAATGCCACTTTTTTACTACGTGTAGTGACGATGATTCTACTTCCTTCCACACCACTCCTTAGTGACATTCTTAACTTCTCCCATTCGCTGTCATCTTCATTCCACACATCGTCCAACACCAGCAAGTATCTCTTCCCAAGTAGCAATTCTTGTAGTCGAAACTGCAATACATCCATCCCTAAGATGTCACATCTATTTTTACTGGCAGATTCTATGATGGAGACCATGATTTTTCCTACATCAAAATCATCACTGACACAGACCCACATCTTCAAATCAAAATGTGCTGCAACTGTTTCATTGTTGTAGACTAACTGAGCAAGCGTTGTCTTACCAAGACCACCTAAACCAACAATGGAAACAACTGAAATATCCCCCAGAGTTGAATTATTGCTTGAAAGCAATTGGTCTATTATCCTACCTTTATCCTCTTCTCTCCCAAAAACTTCTGATTCAACTATAAATGACCCAGTTTGCCTCCTCCCTCTTCTTCTGCTACCTCTATAACTATTAGCATCTCTCAAATTGAAACTAGACTTCTCTTCAGCTAACAATTCTAATGTCTCCTTGATCTGCTCTAATCTAGGTAACAAATTGACACAACCGGCTGCCTGTACCAGGGAAGGAATAAAGGAGCGTACCTGTTCAGCAAAGCTACCCTGATTCCTAGATTGCATAGCTTCAAGAGAAAACTCATCAAGCAAGTCTTCCATCTCGTAAGCAACTTCCTTAAGCTCAGCTAGCCAAATTCTCAGAGCTCCATTGTTCAATTGCTGTTCTTCTGCATCCGCAAGCACTGCTTGTATCACATACAAGGTTCGCTGAAGCTTCCTAACCTCTTTCTTGAGGCCAAGTCTGCTAGCAATCTGTTCTAGTAATGAATTGGCCAACTTGTCAAAGACCACCTGTAGCAAAGGTGATACAATTATTTCCGCCATTGACAGCGGTAGTGAAGAAACAGAGGAAAGTTTACAATGTTATAGATAAATGGAGATGATGAATCTTAATGATGATTGCTCATGTTTGGTTGCTCTCAAGAGAAGCGGAGACTTTTGGTCGGAATTTCAAGACTTCATGAGCCGCCATTGCTGTCCGGTTTCCCGGGTACTTCCAAATAATTGTCCTGTTAAAAGAATTTAAAAAACAAAAAAGCGAATTTCCAACTATGCCCTCATTGACGTGATATAATTACAGACCTTTTAACGGACACGATTACATCTGTAACAGACGGTGATACTTCAATTTTAAATCTTCAATAAAAAATCAGATCTAGGATTAGGGTTTGGGTTAGCGAACGAGGGGAAAATCCGAATATGGAAGGCTGGGACCCGAATACGAAGTCGGCGTTGACCCAGATCCCGCTGCTGACGATGAAGGCGGGCCCCAGAGACGGAGTGGCATGGACTCAGAGGCTGAAAGAGGAGTACAGGGCTCTGATCGCCTACACGCAGATGAACAAGTCCAACGACAACGATTGGTTCCGGATATCCGCAGCAAATCCCGAAGGGACACGTTGGACCGGCAAGTGCTGGTACATCCATAACCTTCTCAAGTACGAGTTCGATCTCCAGTTTGATATTCCCGTTACTTATCCGGCCACTGCTCCCGAGCTCGAGTTGCCCGAACTCGATGGCAAGACTCAGAAGGTGAAATTTGATTTATGGTTTTCTGTTTTGCTAATTGCTTGGTTTGGTAATTGTTTTTTGTTTGGCAGATGTATAGGGGGGGGAAGATTTGTTTGACCGTGCACTTCAAGCCACTTTGGGCAAAAAATTGGTATGCTGAATTTTAGGTTTTCTCTTTGTTTGTTAATGTTAGTGATTTTGATCCGTTGAATTTTATGTTCTCGTGATATATTTCTGTATTGAGGAAATTAGGGATATGGAAAGTAGAAGAATTTAACTTGATATTTCATGTGCTTGTAGTTTGCAATTACTAATCTAGCTCGAGTTTTTAGGGGAAATGGCATCCAAAATCTCAATGGAAGTGACTCAGATTATGTAGTTGGTTGATGTATTTATGAACAAAATGTAACCTTTGATCAAGTAGAGGAAGTCTAAATGACATTGGCTTGGAACTATTCATAATCTCTGTAGGAAAAATTCCATTTAGGTATAATAATCATCCTTGAGCTATTGCCCAATTTTCAATTTACATTGTTGAATGAACAAATCATTTGTCCTTTTCGACAGCTTGGGGCACTACTTTCAACATTTGTCCAATGCAGGCAAATAATTAACAGTGATAGTTCTTGGTAATGCAACCTAGTGGGTAGCAGCAAAACTAGATTGAGTTGGATTAAAATTGTAGAGAAAATAGTAACTGAAGTTTGATGTAAATCTAGAGGAAGATGTAGAAAGGCAATGCTAATCGAGCCATAATGAGTAAATGTTGAAAGGGAGACTTTAATCGGATAGTACTATGCAACATTGAAGTTTAATGGTGCAGCATGCTTCATTCTTATTTAACTCAATTAAGAGGTGGTGTGCATGTACATGGAATGAGAAATGGATGTTGAAGGATCTAATTGCTCAACCTTTTGAATTAACTGGAATTCAGCAATAATCTAAGGATAATTGGTGTCATAACCCTTCTGGTTTTTGCACTTATTTGTATTGTTTCTGCTGGAATTGTTGGTGCTGCATGCTTCATACTTCTTTAACTCAATTAAGAGGTGGGGTACATGTAATGAGAAATGAAGTTCAGGGGTCTGATTGCTCAACCTTTTGAATTAACTAGAATTCGGCCATAGTCTAAGGATAATTGATGTCATAATCCTTTTGGTTTTTGCACTTATTCGGATTGTTTCTACTGGAATTGTTGCTCAAAAGTTCTTTCTTCTCTGATCTTGTTATGCAGTCCTAGGTTTGGTATAGCACATGCACTTTGTTTGGGTCTTGCTCCATGGCTTGCTGCAGAGATTCCCATTCTTGTGGATTCTGGTATGATCAAGCATAAGGATGACGTGGTGGCAGCCTCATCTAATGAGTCCTAGTATTTTCTGATTTTAAAGGTATACCTTGAGTTTCAGAAGTAAACGCTTAGGCATAATTACAAGATTTACAGGATGTCTCTAGAAAGGGTCAATTTGATCTGTCCTATGATCAGATAGATAATATCGAAACTTCTTGACCTCTTATTTTTTAAATGCAAATAGGATCTAATATTATTTTTTGAATACATTTGCAATAATCTTTTATTTATATATTTATCTTTCCGCAGAAAAATGAAAAATGTGTAAATGTTGGGTAAGGAGCAGGTACCTAATCATACCTATGAACCTTCTGGACGTTTCCTTTCTTTTCTTTTTCATTTTTTAGAGTAAAAAACTGAAAAGGAGTTCAAGGGCTAGCCTGGGCCAGCTTGTTGGGATATATTTCTTGCTGGGCTTAGCTGAACTTAGGCTTTTATACAAATTTTTTGTGTACTCCTAAGTTGGGTTGGGTAATAATCAGTAACAACTAATTGGAATTGCTTGAACAGCCCAATCTAGCCAATTTAAAGGCCCATCTCCACCAAGTGAAAAGTGTATAATTTTCGATAAATTCGTTTAGATTTATTGTTTTAGTAATTAGCATTTTCGACAGTTTCAAATATAAAAAGGGTATAATTTTATTATTTTGGCCATTGCTGCCAAATGTATAATATTTTGTTATTTTCTGGGCATTGCAGCCACCTCCTATAATTCTAGCTAGTTGCACTTTTAAATTTCTAATTTGCTTGGGGATGTGAAGTATATGACTATCACTAAGCTGAAGATTAGAAACAGTAGGTAATTCTGTTTTACTCAGGTTTGTGCCTCTTTTTATACCAAATCACGATGCAGAACGAATTACACGGTAATAGGTAGAGATGGGTTGATTTTTGTTCGCTCCGAATCTGATTCGATTATATATATATAATTAATTAATTAAAAAATAATTATATATATATAAGGTCGAATAGGATCGAATTTGTTTAAAATTTTATCTCAATTTTTTCTTTTTATCATTCGATTCAATACCTGATTTAAAAAAAAAAAAAATCAATTATACGAGATCGGATCAATTTGAACTTCTCGGAGATGGATCAAAGTGTCTTCCTTAATTCCAACCCCATATATAATCACATGTAGGCTCCAACTGTCTTCCCTAATTCCAACCCCATATATAATCACATGTAAGCTGTAACCTGCAGCCTGTAGCCAATAGCTTAGGCATCATGTAAAGATAAATTGCTGAGTTTGATTAATAATTTGGTGATTAAATGAACTGTTCCAACTTGCCTTGCCCTCACTGAGGTTTTGGTATGAAAGATATTTTGTTCTGTCTGATACCAGACCAAAACTACTTGGAACATTTAAAACAGCAGACTTTAATAACATAGTAACTGATTGAGCACTCATTCAGGATCATGCAAAGGTAATCTAGAGAGTTGTAATCCTGACAGCAGCCCCCTTCTAGTTCCATATCATTAATCATTTTGCTTTTAGTTGAAGTATATCTGCAGCCGAAGTATCATTGATCATAATATTAAAGTATTTGATCATTCCATGAACTGGCCAGCTTCTAACTGGGGACGAAACAGATGCACAGATCCTACTGCATGCCTGCCGGGTGCTCCAAGCTTTTTGGAAAAGTTCTTGAAAGATATAGTAATTCGGGACAAGAAACTGGTTAATTTTTTGAACAGTATTGCAAACCACAGGTAAAGAATCAATGAGCGACAGCTTGTGCAGGATTCTTGGAATGCACTACAATCATGAACTAAAATGAAAACAAAGAAAATTTTCAAGCTAAAGCTTCCCTATTTGGAAAAACCCTAATCTTCACACTAAGCAAGATTTATAATCCATTAAGCACGACTCTGACTGCTAATTGGACATCTGTTATTGCTTTTGTAAAACACAATATTTCAGGTACTTATCCCATAGATTTTCAAGAGAAAAATGAAAATATTTACAAATTAAAACTAATTCATTATATTTTAGGCATATCCTTTAGCAACAAGGCAAGATTGTCGGATTAGATTTTTTAGTGATAGAACTTTGATTGAGATCATGTATCATCTCAAATGTGAAAATATATTTTTCATGTTTTAAGACTTGATTAGTTATAGGTACTAGGCCTATGAAAGCAATACAAATTAAGTAATAGAAATTAAACAACATTTCTCTGGCGCACCCTCCGTAGATCTTCTTCCATCTCAAGTTGCTCGATGGTGCAAAGCAAAACAGGTTTAACAGTAATTGTTATTGCAGATAGGAGCAAAGCAAAACAAAGCAAAGCTGCCCCACATCCTGAAAATGGAACTATAGTTGGCTGTCCACGATTTGTAAGAAAAGTTGTGGCGACCAGAGACCCTGAAATCTTAGAAAGCCAATCTCCATCACAAATCGCCGTACGTCGCCCACCCACATCCGATCTCTTTTTCTTATCGTATCTATCCATTTATCTCTACATTTGTGTAAGAAAAAAGAAAAAGAAATGGCCCTTAATTAACACAATTATCATCTAATAATGGCCAGAAGTGGTCCACGATATGACGTTGCCACTCTTTAGTTAGAATTTGATAGATCACACAGTATCTAAATGTAGACAAATTACAAGAATCAAAGGAACAATAGTAAAATGCTTCGATACTCTTTTTTGATTCTTGAATAGGAATTCTTTGTCATTATCCAACTTTATTTATGATAAAACCAAAAGGATAAATACATTATTTATTTAAACCTGTTAAAGGGTTAAACTATTCATCCGGACCTAAAACTTCATTCAAAATTTAAAAATATTTAAATAAAAAATTAAAACATGTTAAATAAATTTGAACACAAATTTTTAAATTTATTTAAATTTTAAATAAAAATTAAAATTTGAGTTCATCCGATTTTATTCAAATAAAATATATATGTATAAATTTTTATTTTTATATTTTAATTCTTTTAAAAAAATTTAATTTTTTTATTATATCAATTAAATTTAATTAATGAATTAAAATTTTATTTTTTTTATTTTAAGTCGAATTTAAAAAAAATTTTATATCTAAATGTATTCACCAATGAAACAAAACATATACATATGGCTAAAAGTAAAGTAATTTCACTAAAATTAAAAATTTAAACTTTATTTTTGATTGATAAAAAATCAATCCAAGTTTTAACAAATTGAAATCTCCCCTTTTCAAAACAATAAAAAAAAAATGTACGAAAAATCCGAAAGGAAATTAAATTCTTGTTCCCCAAACAAGTACTCGTCGCCTAACCATTGAGGAGGGGACCCTATAAAAGAACGAAGACAAAGGCAAAAGAAAGGAGTGTGGATAAAACGAGTGTTCCACCAGCCAATCAGAATTCAGAAAAAAAATCGCAATCCTCTCTCTCTCTCTCCAAATCCCATCCGCCAATCCTTTTATTTCCCAAGATTGGACCAATCATTGTTGATTTTCGGTAAATTTTTTCGTATGGACTGCATCTTGAACTTGAGGCCCTGACACTGTTCTTTACCATCTCTCCTCTGCATCTTTTTTCATCCAAGCTATACCAATTCAAACCACAGGACTTTCTTTTCTAGGAAAAATTAAATACCCATTTAAGCTCGCACTCTGTTTCTCTCTTTAATTTGGGTTTTTGGGTTTTTATCTTTTGGGTGGGTTTTATATAGTGAGCTTTTCAGTTTTCAAAACCATGGCGGTTTCTTCGACTTTTTCCGGTGCTAACTTGGAGAGTTTGTTGGTGAAGTATTGTTCATCGTCTTCAGCTTCTTCTTTGCGGGCTCATTTTCCTTGTCAGCGGCAAATGAAGGCTTTTTCCAAGCCTAATGGTGGAAGGAAAGGTATGGTTCAGAGGAGTGGAGGAGTTAAATGTGAAGTTGCTCAATCCGACGCGGCTTTGGAAGGTGAAAGAATCGATTCTTCTAAGGCTTCTGCACTCTCCGCACTTCAACAGCTCAAGACTTCCGCTGCTGACAGTACGTTTTGCCTGAATTTCGTGTTATTCAGCTTTAGATTTGATTTATAAATTGTTATTTGATGAATGCGTTGCTTAATCTGATATAACTGAAAAGTTTCAATTTTTTTTTAAGCAGATTCATAATGTTTAGATATTTAGAGCAACAATTAAATAGGTGCTAATTGAGATTAAGAAACCAACAAAATAAATTATTAGATTCTTATATTTGGTATATTTCTTCTGTAGGAGATGAACAAAAATATTATTGCAAAAGAATTGTGGATATATTTTCTACTTACTATGTGTACAATTGCTTGCTTTTGCTTTTGTTAGTTGATGGAATGGGAAAAAAATCAAGCTTTTAGTCATGCCTTCAATATAAAACCTATTCCTTACTTAATATGTACATTGGAATTGTATGATGGAAACCATAATCAATTTCTCTTCTCTTACAGTGTAATAATAGCTAGTTCCTGAAGTTTTTGTTATGAATAAGAGGAAGGAAAGTGTCACCATGAAAAGACTCCTAGAATCGATTGTTGCTTGCATAGGTTCCCTACTTTGTGAACTTAGTTAACTTGACATAATTGTATGGCTTTAATGTCTGGAAACTTCTATATTTTAAGCAAAGAGCATTTGATATGATGCGTTCATCTTTAATTTAGAACTCAAAATATTTGAGTCCTTTTTCAGGAATTTAATTAAATGTACAAGGTTAATCCTTTTTGTAAAATATACATGTTAATTTTCATGTAACAACTGTACTACTGAAAATCTTGTGATTGTTCCATGCCAGGATATACAAAGGAAAGGAGCAGCATTGTGGTTATAGGGCTTAGTGTTCACACTGCACCTGTGGAGATGCGTGAGAAACTTGCCATTCCAGAAGCAGAATGGCCACGAGCCATTGGGGAGTTATGTGGCTTGAATCATATAGAAGAGGCTGCCGTCCTTAGCACCTGCAACAGGATGGAAATATATGTTGTTGCTCTCTCTCAGCATCGTGGAGTCAAAGAAGTAACTGAATGGATGTCAAAGGTACTTTACTCTTTGGACTCTATAGTTTGTGATATTTACTTCTATAAAATTAGTTTCACGAACCAATTTATGTGAAAACTTTAAATCTGGCAGTAGTTGTTTAGCTAACTACAATTTGGTTGCAGACTAGTGGAATCCCAGTTTCAGAGATTTGTGAGCACCGGTTTTTGTTGTACAACAAGGATGCTACAAAGCACCTCTTTGAAGTATCTGCTGGTCTTGACTCTCTTGTTCTTGGAGAAGGTCAAATTCTTGCACAAGTTAAACAGGTTGTCAAAGTTGGGCAAGGTGTTGTTGGCTTTGGAAGGAACATTAGTGGGCTGTTCAAGCATGCAATTACTGTTGGGAAGCGAGTTAGGACAGAGACTAACATTGCAGCTGGAGCCGTTTCTGTTAGCTCTGCTGCTGTTGAACTGGCTTTGATGAAGCTTCCTGAGTCCTCACATGCTACTGCTAGAATGTTGGTTATTGGTGCAGGAAAGATGGGAAAGCTTGTGATCAAGCACTTGGTAGCAAAAGGTTGCACCAAGATGGTGGTTGTTAACAGAAGTGAGGAGAAAGTTGCTGCAATCCGTGAGGAGATGAAAGGTGTTGAGATTATTTACAGACACCTTACAGACATACTGGCTTGTGCAGCTGAAGCTGATGTGGTCTTCACCAGTACAGCATCAGAAACCCCATTGTTTTTGAAAGAGCATGTCAAGGATCTCCCCCCTGCCAGTTCTGAAGTTGGTGGTTTGAGGCTCTTCATTGATATCTCTGTTCCACGGAATGTGGGATCATGTGTCACAGATGTTGATGGTGCACAAGTTTACAATGTTGATGACCTGAAGGAGGTTGTAGCTGCTAATAAAGAGGACCGACTACGAAGAGCAATGGAAGCTCATGCCATTATTACTGATGAATCAAAACAGTTTGAAGCATGGAGGGATTCACTGGAAACAGTTCCTACCATCAAGAAGTTGCGAGCCTATGCAGAGAGAATTAGAGTTGCAGAGTTAGAGAAATGCTTATCAAAGATGGGAGAAGATATCTCAAAGAAAACAAGGAGGGCTGTGGACGATCTCAGCCGTGGTATTGTGAATAAACTTCTCCATGGTCCAATGCAGCACCTGAGATGTGATGGTAGTGACATTCGAACTCTGAATGAGACCCTTGAGAACATGCATGCACTTAACAGAATGTTTGACCTTGAGTCAGATATATCTCTTTTTGAACAGAAAATTCGAGCCAAGGTAGAACAAAGTCAAAAGTGAGCACCAATATGGAATCTCTTACATTACAATAAATTACACTTCCTCAAAATGGAATTAGAGAACTTCCTCACATAGTCATGAGTGTTGGTCTGCTGTAATCAGGTAACTAATCAATTTGAGGTCCTTGTGGCGCATCTTTCAATTCATTAATTGGTGTAAGACACCATAGCTTGACTCTCATTTGGCTTCGCATTCCTACAGCACGTTTGTTAGTGGTCTTTCGGCTTTGTAGCATGCAGTATGAGGCGAGCTTGATTCGTGTATCAATTCATCTGTAGAATTTATATTATCTATGGGAACAATATTAATCATTGTAATTCATATACTAATTTTAATATAGAGCTGGAATTTTCTGTAGATGTAAATATTGGCATTTTTTACTTATTTTTCTTAAGTGAAAACCGGCAATATCAGGTTTGTGTTGGATAGTTGTCCGCTTTGGCTGTACTAGCTGTGTGATTGACTGGAAATAATTACTCTTAAGCACCTATTTGGGCTAGGTACACAGAAAGAAGGCTTACTGCATGTTGTTTATCATTATAGGTTAGTGGCAAGTGGAGGCCTTTTTAGGGACAGGAATGGTCCAAGTGGCACTTGAATTCTGGGCTATACTGGGTATTTGTGCTGAATATGGGCTATTGGCTATGGGCTTTTAGGAAAGGTCTACGTCTTGCAGCCGAAATGGCTACGGCTGACTCAAACTTTGCCATGTGTTCTCGAAAATAGGGTTCACTAGTCACTATGTCCTTTACTATAATCTTTTTTGAAGGGGTGGATCTGGCATAACATGAAGCCGAAATGAACTTGTCCATGCTCGTAGCTGGTTACTACTTCAATGCAACACAGGCCAAGTGAATATTGTATGGACCAGGGAGGGTCTGGCGCAAACAGATGCTTCGATGGCAGACAATTTGGTGATCACGGAATTTCCTACAGATTTTAGTATTGGTTCCAAGGTAACACGGCACATTTGCTGTAACACCCTACCCTCCAAACCGATTTTTCTTTAAAACCAAATGGAAGAAGACACATAAAAGTAGGGGTGTCCCTTGTTTGCCATGATGTCTCATGTCTGCAATTGTTAGCCCTAGGAACCACATTGAGAACAGTAAGACTCCAATGGAACCATGACTGTACATTCGCTAAGGTCCTTGAAAGCCCCATGGATCATCAAATACAAGGTAAGAGATCACACAATTATGGTTAAACTCCCTAGCAGCATTATTAACCAATAATGCTGATGGAGGCGTTACAATAGTCAATAGGACCATTTTTTTTGTCATTTGGCATGAAATGATATATCCGAAGGACAAAGCAGCTATGGGTTGGAACCCAAAGACAACCGAGAATGAAAATGATAAGACGTGCAGGTTTTTGTAACCACCGGTTACCCTGTCTGTAATTATGAACTGCAATTTGGGTCCATGATGCTTTTATAACTTTGAACAAGATAAGAATTATAGTCTTTGTCATTAGTTGGCTAAGAACACTAATTGCGGAGCAAAAGAGTCTTGCGAGCTACGGTAAATTGTAATTGATATGTCATTTGGATTTAAATTTCCATGCATGCCATCGATCAGTTTCAAACGAATACAATAACAACCTCTGTTAAGAAGTCTTGGTAAGTTTATAAAATGCAAAAAAAAAAAAAAAAAGGCCATGAAAAAACAAAACAAACGTACTTCCAACAATAATAAGTAACAATAATGTTCCTAAAGCAAAAAAAAAAACAATGTACTTCAAACAATAACAAGTAATGATAATGTTCCAAAAGCAAAGCAAACGTGGACCTTCCTCGGCTTCTCGAGGCCCCGCCCATGTGAATTACTGGCAAGAACTCCTTTTACGAGTCGCAGAAGTGATAACAAATCGAATTAAATTGGATTTAATTTTTTTAATAATATTTTAAATTTAAATTAAATTTAATTTTAATGATTCAGTTTAATTAATTCATTTTTAAGATTTTAAATTTTTTATATTACTTTTATATAATTTTTAATTTATTTAAAATAATTTTACTATAAAAAATTTTAAAAATATATATAATATAATATTTTTATTTTTTAATTCAAAATTTGATAAAATCAAATCCAACATTATAATTTTAAATCTATTTTTAATTTTTGTAATACTTTTTTGTCTCAAAACGGTAATGTTAGTATCGGAGTGCTAGGAAGGAAAGCTCGAGGATATGGCCCCCACAAATGGTCACATTACTGTGTCTGATTGGTTGGCCGCTAAATTCCCAAACGTTGGTTTTTTGGGAAGAGTGTTGTTTGAGTTGCTGCTATGTGATACGTTAGGGCATGCACTGGGCAGTGAACCAGACACGAGGGTAGCTGTTCTAAGTATGGATGAGAGAGAACTGTGAACATATTACTACAACAGAGGTTGCAGAGCTCAAGATAGCCCTGCCTCAATGCCAGAATCAAGGACAGAAAGCCCCACGGTGAGAGATTGTGATTGATTGAACTCTAGATACGTTCTGACATGGCCATTGCCAGTATTCCTACCCTACAGTAATCAGGCAAATGTTTTCATATATTAAACATGTTGGCAGGTAAATGTATTCAGAAGGATACTCAAAACTTCTAAGAACTCGAGAAAATCATCCAATTTGTACAGAAATTAGTTTCAGGATTAACATTTCCAACTGTATCAGAAAAGAAATGGGTGATAGCTGAAAGAATCAGAGGGTAATGTGGGGGCTGATGGTGAAGCCTATCACCAATGTCACAAGTCTATAAAAGGGTTTAGTTTTACTATAATTCAGGAATTGAAAAGCAAAACAATACTTTAATAACAACGAAAATATAATTACAGGAAAATGATTCATTCATCATTGTCATTTCCAAGTCCTAGCTACCTCAATCATTCTACACCTTTTCCTTTGTCTTCTTTTTTTCACTTGACAATCAATTTTTCTGAAAAACCCCAAAAGGATAACATTATAAACTATAAAGTGAATCAAAAAAATAAGGATTAAAATCCCACTTGCCAAATGCTAAATTAAAAAATCCCAAAAAAGTTAACAGCAAAAGGAGGAGAAACCCAATTACACGTGAAAACTTCCTACACTATAAATACAAACTTTTCCTACACAGAAGAAAATGAGGATTTAATTTAAAGGAAAAAAAGACAAAATCCGAAAGCTTTTTTTTTTTTTTCTAAAGCAACCCAACCAATCAATTTCTTGAATTAATCCATAATCCCTCTTTTTTTTCTTCATTTTTTTCATTAAATTTTTTTAAGGAAAATAAAACTAAAATCTAGCATTTTCGAAGCCGTGTAAATCGCTGACTCTATTCAAAGACTTCTTCATGATGGCTACTTTGGCCAACTTCTCAGCCGCTCTCCAAGCCGATGACGGCGTGAGTGGCTCCTCAGTCTCATTCGTCATCGCCTCCCTTTCGTTGACCCTCCGCCGTTGGATTTCCATCATCTTCTGTTTCCTCCATTGCAATTCCGCCAGCTCAGCTTCCAGCCCTCTGACATATTCCTCAGCCGAAAACGAATTCGACTGCATCAACAAGTCTCGAGCCGAGGCCAACAAATGGTGAGCGCTTGTCAAGTCGTTACTGCACTCAATCAACCTCCTGGCCTCGGCGATGGCTCGAGTCGTGATGAAAAAGAATCTCAACCGTTCGATTTTAGGAGACGATGATCTAACGGCGTGGGGCCGAGGTACAAGAAGCGCTTGATCTCTGCCGTATACAACTTCTTGCGAAGCGGGGTCCTTGAAAAGACAGCGAACGCACAACACGTGGTGGGACCCAGCCGCCGACGTTTGAACTTTCAGCTCCAAGAGTAATTCACTTTCTTCCCCAGCGTACAAATCGCCGAGCCGCACCGAGCCGGAAGTTAAAACAGTAGGCTGCCCTTTACATGAATAAACGGCTGTTACTTCAGCTGGAGCTGAGCCAGATGCGAAGCTGAGCTGAATTCTCAAATCTTGTACTACAACGCTCAATAACCCACCAACGCATTTAGCAAACGCATCCTCAGCTGGCTCATGACTGTAACCGCCACTTTGCCCAAATCCAAACGCATGAACCGGGATTTCAATGTGGGCGAAACGAGTCGACGACACGTGGCTTGAATGATGCCGTTCACTCGAAGCATTAGATTGGACTCTTTCATCCTGGCCGTCGGATAACAACATAATGCTAGCTACTGGATTTCTCTCCCTTCGATCCTCAAGCACTTTCGTAGCTTTCCTCAACGCATCGCCAACACTCGTTCCTTGACTGCAAACGAGCCGATCAATAATGCACCAAGCAGCTCGTTGACCCTGAGCCGTCATCCTCCGCAAAGGCAATAATCGTTTTGGACTAGCCGAGAATGCCACGATGGAAAGCCTATCAGCTGAGCCGAGCGACGAAATAACTAAACGCATGGCGCGTTTCAACATCTGGAGTTTAGCACCGGTCATGCTTCCGCTCACATCAAGAACGGTAACCAAATCGATAGGCGCACGTTGCGAAGGGTCCAAATGTGACCCCGTATTGTTACTATTCCTCGAAGAAGCATGTATTTTTGCAGGGGGAGGTAGTGGGGCCTTGATTTTTAAAGCCACGGCGTAAGTTTCGTATCCACGGCCCACTGAAACGACTGCCGTTTCGGGAGATAATCTGACCTTAACATTCCTCAAATCACGTCCGTTGGATGGGAGCACTTCATCGGACTTAACGGCGGATGAAGGGTTGGGATTAACAAAGAATCCTTGGAACTCCTTGACGTCGTCATCTTCTAGTTCAACGTTTTCATCAGCTTCTGGAATGGGAATAAAACGACTACCGGCGGTTGGAGAAAGCAATGGCTCGTCATCATCGTAGGATCTTAAATCAGACGGTTTGGGTTTTGGTTCTTGCTTATTGACAATTCTCGGTGAATAAGATTGGATGATTTTTTTCTCTTCGATTCTGGGGATGGTGTTTTCAATTAGAACAGTGTCATTTTCAGGGGTTGGGTTTTTGTGAATGGAGAGAAGAGGGACATCTTTCCAGGTGGTATTACAAACAGGGCAAACGAAGGAATCATGTTTACGAACATGACCAACTATGCATGGAAAATGAAAGGCATGTGCACATTCCGCTGTGTAAATGGCTGTTCCTTGACCTGTCTTCACGCTGTTCGAACAGATTCCACAACTACTCTGCCAAATTCAAACCCAAAAAAAAAAAAAAAATTAGTACAAGAAGCCAAAATGAATTAAAATTTAACTATATTTTGAATGTTAGAATTAAGAATTGTGTAATTACTTACTCTGAACTTGAAGCTGTTGCGGAAAAGTGAGAGCTTGAGAGGTGAACGAGGGGAGGAAGAATTTGATGAGAGAATTGGTTTAGGACTTTTAGTGGCTGCTTTAGGGGTGGTTTTGCATTGAAGAGGGGGGCTTTCACTTGTGGAAGATGGTTCATCAATAATGGGGCAACGGAGACTGGGGCTAGAAACTGGTTGAGATTGAAATCGAGGGGTAGAAGCGTTACTTTCACTAGAAAAAAAGCTTAACTTGGCACAACTTCTGTGGCTGGGACTCGGACTCTGCTCTTGTTGATGCTTGTCGAAACCAGTGGTTTCAGATTCTCTAGGGATTGTAATGCAAAAAGCTCTTCTCCAACCGGTACCCATTTTTCAGTGTCACCCCAAAAGAAAAAAAAAAAAGAAGACTTTGGGCTTTAGAAGAACCAACAAAGTAAGTAACAAACACTCTCCTTTTCCCTTTTTTTTTCTCTCTTCTATTTCTATCTAACTCCACCTTTGTTTATGTTTTTCGATGAGATAAAGAAAAAGAAAAGAAAAAAAGCGTTTTGTTTTGATCGATCTAAGGTCGCGACAGACGACAAAAAGCGTAGGATCAAAGCCTAAGGATACGAACATGGGATCAAATGTGAAAACAAAAAAAAACGCAAATGGACAAACTAGTGGGATTTATGATACAAAAAAGAGAAAAAAAAAAACCAGCTGCTCCTTTCTCTTCCCCTTCTCTATTTCTTTTTTGCACTTCCTTTATTCTAATTTCTATATCGACAGCGCCAAAAAGATCTCTGCAACAAAAAAGGATTGAGGTCTGCTGCTGTTCTCTCTCTTTGAGAAATCCAGAGGGAAGCTGTACTTCTACTGAATATTTATATTCATTGGAAATAGTAATTAAATGGAATTTTAACCTGTTTAACCGGCGCGTGCTGGTTAACATTTTACGTCAGCGTTCAACGATCAGCATCTCCTATCCTCTCCGCCACCCTCTTCTCCTTTCTGTCTTCACCACGTTATCCCCACCGACCTGTTTAAAACCTGATCATCCCACCATGCCTTTCATGCTCCATGCACTTTGTACATCCCCTCTGTTCACGCGTCACATGGATGCGTGTACTTGAATTGACAAAGTTTACTTTTGAAACGTGCTGTTCCCTCTTTACCTGGCGAGTATTACTTCAGAGTCGAAAAAGCATTCGGGTTTCTCTGTTGTTCATGCATGATTCATAAATGGTAGGTGTCGGGATATTATATCTTATGCATGTTACGCATCTCATCATACTTTTGATTAGGCTTTTTATTTTATTAATCTTAGCCGTTGAACAGCTTGAAGCATTGAGTGATGATGATTTCAACCAAGTGACCAACTACCACATCATCATCGAACCAAGGTCGTTTTGTTGTCTGAAATTAGTATCAAATTAAAAAAATTCGATGGCATTTTAGTAGGAAGCGAGGATAGCAGGCTAGACTGGATAAATTTTGATAGTAAAATTAAGAAGCTTGATGTCAAAGAGCAGCCTTTGCCAATGGCAAATCTTGGAATATTAATTACCGTATCAACGTGGAAAGTGAAACACATTAAATCATTAATTGCAAAGGAAAGAGTCAGGAAATCAGAGAAGTTGAGCAGGAGGAGAGGATATGGGCGGGAGTGGGGCGGCTCAGACACCCAGATGTTGGGTCCTTTTGTAGGGAGGTTTGGGTGTCGGTGGTTTTGAGACTGACCTTGGCCCTCCGGGAGAGGGGGGGTTGCTCGGTGACTCGACCATATGGGGATTCACCTCTGTCTCGGGCTATGTTTGCGAAGTCAAATTGGATGTTGCACCAACAACGGTAATGGGGGGCCAAAGTTTAGAATTTCATTCAGGTGGGAGGACCAAGATGCAAGTGATTAGCAATATAACTCTGGATTTTCTAGTATTTGGTTCTTAACCAAGTTTAATAATACGGCAGCTTCTTTCTATTCTTTTTTTAAAATTGGGTTTGTTCCAATAATTTTAACACTTGAAATCTAAATTTTTTTTATTAAGAAAAAGACATAATCCTTACGAGAAAAGAGAGAATCTTGGCTCGAAATCTATTCTCCTTTTAATAATAGCCAATTCTTCCCTCTTTTTGTCCTTCATTTTTGTTTGGAAACGAGACAAGATAAGATAATCATTCTTCCCCTTTTTTTCTTCTTTTCCAATCAAAACCAAAATTTTTATGCATTTATTTGATAATCATCAGAGAACAAAGACAAAATCATGAACCCCATGAACGCATAGGCTCTCATCCACTTTCCATCTCTCTACTCTTAACTGCTCAATTCCTTCACATCCCCCAATGAAAAAAAATAAAATATAAATTGTAGAATTAAAAACTCTGGTAGTATAGTAAATGAGTTACCGAAGTTAGCAAACCCAACTCCAAAAAAAAAAAAAAATTGAATCACGGATTTGGTACCTTCCCCAAAACGGCATCACACTCACGGAGTATAACACATAACTAAAAAAAACACACTTGGGGTAATTTTTAATTTTGTTTGTGTGAGAAGGGGTTCAAATCCCATGTCTCTAGGGATACATTGCAACTAAAAAATTGATAGTTTGGGACAAATTCATTGATTAATTCATGCTTGATGTTACGTTTCAGTTAGGATTGGACCAGAGAATAGTTGATTATTGACCAAATGACAGTAACATTTCATTAATTCATGCTTGATGTTGTTTCATTTGCCAGTCATAATTATTGAAGAGTTTTGAAAATCCTTTTGAAAATCTTTCTTGCTATTATTTACAATCAATAATTCTTATCATGGTGATGAGATTAATGACACATGTGAATCTGATGCATGAATCATGTGTCAATTTAATTTTACATTAATCCTTTTTTTTTTCTTTTTGATAGAAGTTTTACAATAATCTTAGTAATGAAAACGGTGAATACTTGATAAATTATGTATGTTTGTACACATTAATTCATTGAATTTAAAAGAAGTTGTGTTTATATTGTTAATAACATTTATTTCTTTGCTATTTTATTCATGCTTTTAAAACAACTAAAAAGATATTGGATTTTTTTTTTTTGGATTCTTAAAATAAAAATAATTTATAAATAATTGTATTGATAATATCAAATTCATTAATTATATATATAGGATGATACCATGATACAAATTTATGTCTATATCAAGATTATAGCAGTTAAAACATGATATGGGCAAAAAAATCAAGTTTGTCAACCAATTAATAATAAAAAAAATTAATTAATTAACACTAAAATTCATAATTAAATTATAAAAATATAAGATAACATAATATTATAAGTCTAACATATAAATTCAAGTCAAGGATATATATATATATATATATATATATATATAGACAAAAGCTGGAAGGTCATCAATGGTTCAAAGGACCTTCTTCTTCTTCTTCTTCTTCTTCGATAACTAATTGTTTAATTAACACATGTCTGTGGATGGAAATACACCAAACAAATTAAATAATGAAAACTTATTTTCAAAAGAAAAAGAAAAAGTGGTGACCATACCGGCCATGGAAGGATGCTGGGAAGCAAAAGATAAACAGATAATGAATAATGGACCAGGTTTTTTGTAATGACTTCTATTTAGGTTTTATCTCTTAATTGGGACCCCATTTTCGTACTCTGGTCTCTGGGGATAAGACCCCCAGCCCCTTAATGTCCTACGTTTTGGTCATGAACCCATCTCTGACTCAACAGCCTCATTTAAGAGGAAAAGAAAAGAAAAGAACAGAAAATTGTCCTCATTTAGATTTTGTTTAAGACTATACCATTAATTATTCATTTCTTAGGGTCCAAAGTTTTATATACTATATTTTAATGGAAGCATAAAACAAAACAATGCTTAATGATTGACCCAAATCATAGTCTTTAGAAAGAAACCCAAACCCTTACTCTCTTTTTTTTTTTTTTTTTTTGCTTTTGGGGTCTTAATTTAATTAGGTTTATTTCTCAACTACATCTCCTAATTCAGTTCTAAACCATTATATTAGATGATGGGATTTCCGCAGAGCTTTGGAGGCTATATATCTTTTCTGGCAAGCACATGATTTTTATCACCCCAAAAGGTTAGGTTTAGAGATAGATGCATCTGATTTTGGACACTAGTCCATATTAATATTTTAATTCAGTTCAATCAAAGGTTTTCTTTATAAAAAAATTCTTGATTATATATACATTATACTAGTAGTTATAAATGTACTAATCTTTGTGTTTCTAATCACTGAAGAGAGAATTAATAAAATAATAATACTGTTGAACAAACTAACACGATCAAACCCCCACAAATCCTTTTGCCCAATTCAGCATTAGAAAATTTGGCATAAAGTTTTTTTTTTTTTTAATATTAAAGATCAGATGCCCACTTTGTTAATATCTTGCTTTAATGAGAACAAAAATAACTCATCAAGAAATCAAATGGAAAAGCTAGCTCCATTTTCCTGTTCAGTAAGGTGAGCTAAGTTTTCAATGCCAAAAGAATCCAATTTGTCTGACAATGGTAAAGGACAGTTAGTATTTATATTAAAAATAGGGTTTTTTAGCGATTCAAAACTTAAAGAGATGACATTCAATTATTTTGAAATTTAAATCTTCTATCTTCGTGTTACAACTTCTTATAAAAAAAAAAAAAAAAAGGATTTTTTAGGGTTTTTATTCGCTTAATGAGTTGATTTAGAAAATTGGGGAAATGCCCACACATCACGTGACCAAATTGGACAACCCATATGGAAAATATCCCATTCATTTGCTAACCTCCAAGTCGAAGATGGTTGCTTGCAATTTTGAAAATCTTAATTTAATTAATATAAGCACAGAAAAGGCATCATAACAAGCTTATGCTTTTGACTAAAATCATTCAGAGTGCCTGTATTTGGTCACCCATGTTCAATGACCATGATGTCCTTCCTAACCATCATTCGTTATCTTTATTTTTCTCTTCAAAATCCTTTTATCTGTCCAATTTATTAAATCTTAATATATCCTATATCTTTAATCCAAATGTATATACAATTTAAAGGATAAGAAGTAAAAATTAGGCTAGGGGTGTAATCGAATCTTGTCGAGCAGAATAGTAAGAAATTCGAGTTCGAGTTCGACTCACAATTCGGGGTTCGATATTCGACTGAAGCTCGATCGAGTTTTATTTTTTAAATTCGAGCTCGATTCGTGATCGAATTCGAACAACTCGAACTAACTCGATTAAGCTCGATTAATATGTAAAAATAAACTCGATTCGTATACTCGACAAGAGTTTGATTATTCATGCTCGAACTCGGGACTCGAAATATTTTATTAATTAAAATAATAAAAATATATTTAAATATAAAAGTTCGATTAGGCTCGCGAGTTACTCGAGTCAGATATAAGAATACTCGAATTCGACTCGATCGATAAATCGAGCTACTCAAGCTCGAGCTCGACTCGATAATAATCGAACCGAATTCGAGTTTTTTTCGAATCGAATCCGAATAGCTTGCGAGTACTAATGTATCATTTACACCCTTAAGCTAAGCTTAATTACTCATTTATCAACTTGACTAATGAACACACTACGAGAGAAAATACACTTTTAAAATCGTTCAAAAATGTATAAAAAAAAATCTCATATAGCAAACTTCAATTCTTGATTCATTCAAGGGCAATTTTGGGTTTATATTAATTAATGAGCATCTCCAAGAAGTTAGAGAACCAACAATATTAATACTATCTTTAATAAGTAGTCATGAAAAAGAACCTATAGACTACTCTATTTAAGTCATATGGGAGATGTGAACATAAAATCATGACCAAATCCTCAAGCCAGAGATCTTTGATAATAGTAGTTTTTTTTTTTTTTACTTAATTAATTATGGG